AATAGTAACAATTTCATACCACCACCACTCTAAACAAATCCAAGACAACTTGGAATTGCCAATTTCATCAATGGTTTAATCCCTTCAACACCAATCCCTTTAACCCCCCAATTCCACCATTTCATCATTTTCCCTTTTTGACCCTCCATATAATAAACATATCCTGCTAACATCACAGCCATGTTCAGATTTGTCACCACCGAAGCAACAGCCACCCCTTTCACCCCCCACTCTAGAACCATCACCAACCAATAGTTTAACGGCACGTGGAACACCACAGCAGTCAGAGTGCACCACATCATAGGCTTCGTCACCCGCTGTGACCTTAGATAAACCCTCAAAGGCTGTAAAAATGTGTTGGTTAACAAATCAGGAAGTGAGAAAATACAGTACAAAGCAGCCATTGATGTAACTTCTTTATCTTGGCCCAAAAAGATCATTATTGGGCCGAGATTGATCCAGAGGAAACTGATGGGTATGATTGCAAGGAAGAGGATGAAGATCATTCGGAGGAGAGAGAGTGAAAGAAGGTCCCAGTTTTGTGACCCGAAAGCCTGTGAACAAACGGGCTCAAGACCGGAAGCAAGGCCCACTAAAACAGAGTACCCTGTTATGTTGGTGAAACCTATTGAAAGGGCCCCACCTGCAAGCTCTAAACTTCCTAATCTTCCTAAGAAGAGAACTGATACTACTGCTCTTATGTATACTAAGCAGTTCATTGCTGTTATTGGAAACGCCATTCCCCATAATTCTTTTAATTCTTCTATTACCTGCAAAAATAAACAGAGGAAATTTAGAAAAAGAAATGAGTAAAATGATTCTAAAAGGGAGTTTTTTTTATTATCAAGAAAAAACTTTGACAGTAAATTCTCATTGGTATGTAAGGGACGAAGGGAGTATTCGTAATAAAGATTAAATCTTTACCTGGGAAGAAGAAGGGTGTTTGTGAGAGGAGAAATCAGGGTCTTTTTCTGACATTTTGAAGGTGAAAATATGAAATTAAGCTTAAAGATTTGTTTTTTTTTTTTTAGAGGAGAGAGAAATTAAAGGATGGAAAAATGGAGGGAAGAAAGAAAGAAAGAGATGAAATAGTGGAAGTTAAAAGTGTTGTTTAAGGGATGATCAGGTTTATACAGCTGACAAAATGGGGTCAATTAATTTGAGGAAAATGAGTGGACTTTTTTTTAATGTTTTTGTTAAAAAAGAAAAAAAGTGTAAACGGCGGCGACTGTGACAGCTTAGGGAAGACTGGAGGATTACTGCAGAAGAAGAAAGAACAGAGGAAAAGAAAAGTGAAAGTGAAAGGTTTTATTTTTCTTTTCTTTATGTAAAGATGATATTTTTGGTGAGTGAATAAATATTGTTGTGTTCGTTCAGGGTTCGGGTTTGGATCCTCTAGAGTTGGTTCATATTTTCATGATCCAATTCATTTTTTGCTCTATTTTTTTTACTTTTTGGTAATAATTTTTTTTTGAAACACTATATAGGTATCAATAATTAATAAAATAATACAGAGTAATTGATTTAATCTGCTCTACACAAAACTCAAAATAACTAAGGGGTCGTTTGGTTCGCGAGGGGTAATCGGAATGGAATGAACATAGGGAAAGACAGGGAATGGAATGAAAATACCTAAAATTTTCTATATTGTTTGGTCTTAAAAACAAAGGGAATGAGGGCCACCAGTCCCACCCCCACACCACCACCACACATCCACCTCAAACCTTCATTCTCCACCGTTTCCAGCCACCAAACCACTCGCCGCACCTCCCTCCCCTTCGCCTCCCTTCGCCGGTCATCCCCGCCCCTCGCACAGCTCTCCCCGCCCCTCGGAAACCCTCCCTCAACCCCGAAAAACCACCATCAGCCTCGAATAAACCCTAGAAAATATTCTCCCTCGTCGTTTGAGGTGCGACAACCTCCGACGAGGGTTGGGGAAGGTGCGAAAAGGGTTGGGGGAGGTGCGAAAAGGGTTGAGGGAGGTGCGAAAAGGGGTAGCGAAGTGCAATTCCGGTGCGAAAAGGGGCAGCGAACGATTCGATTCCGGTGCAGGGGAGAGTCGGTGAGGGTCGGCGAGGGGCGGCGAGGGTCAGGGGAGGGGCGGCGAGGGTCAGGTAGGACGGTGGTTGGTTTTCCGGTGGTTGGGTAGGTATGAAGGTGGTGATGTGGTGGTGTGGTGGTGGTAGGGAATGGGAATGGAAATACCTAGGGGGGTGGGGAATGGGCTTAGAAGAATTTGGGGGAATGGATTGGGGAAAGGGAATGAAAAAAAAGGGCTAACAAACAGCAACAAAGGGAATCGGGGTGGTTGATTCCCTTTCCCTTTGATGAATACCCCCAACCAAACGGCCCCTAAGTATAACTAAGAATGTCTGCCCCCTTTTTTTTTTGGAAAATGCTCCAGTGAAGCAATCCATTATCATTGGAGAATATGGAGATTAACATTCAAAAGAGAAAGAAAATCCATCACCCAAGCTCGACTTCCTAGTTCCTACTTCCCATGGCAAGCAATGAGCGAGCTGAGCAATCCCATAAGCTACTTTATTTCCCTCCCTACAAACAAAACTCCAAAACACATGATAAAAAAAGCAACTAGCATGATAAATATCATCATCAATAATGTTTTAAACTACAAGCTTCAAAAGTATTGATCATTTAATTTATAAAATTGGATTGGATGCTTTTCAATTTAAAAAATAACGAACACACTACATTACTAGCTATTTGAGAATGGAGTAAATTGTTATAAACTATAGAAAAATTTCTAGAGGTTGCTCAAAATATGACCTATTATTCTATTAAACAATGTCTTTGGCAATATAGATTTGTGTTTGATGCTATGTTTTGTGTTCTAATAGGAAGTGTATTGATGTAATATCATTAATTATAATGATAATTGTGGTATAGCTTCTCAAAAGTTGAATTGGTCCTACTTCAAAGTTATAATTAAACTATGTTCCTAACAATGTTTTTTTATGTTAATTTTTTTGAAATAGTAACATAACGACACTTGATATTTAAATCATGTCGATAAGACGACACTTGATATATGAATCATGTCGATAATAAGAGTTAATTAGGTAGGAATGTATCCTAATTTAATCTTATTTAATTTCAAATCAAACCAATAATTTATACAACATACACTAAAATAGCCTATCTAAATTGAGGAAAATAAGTACAGAAGTGAGCCAAGTGATAGAATCTTTTTTGGCCAAAGGCTAGCAATGAACATTAAGAAATATGAGAAACTTTAACGGCAAATAATTCCTATTTGACACGAAGCTGATTTCTTGTTGGTCCAATCAAATGACATACTTATATGCATATATTAAACCTTATATTATAAGAAGTTCTTATAATCATATCCATTAATTGGCGAGGTTAGGTATGCAAAGCACAATTAATTTAGAAATTAACTACAAAACAGCATCTTAGCAATAACAAAGTGGCTCTTTTTTTCTTCTTAATTTTCATGGCTTAATTGCTTAAATAAAGCGTAACATATAGCTAACCGTAGGCACATTACTTTATCCTCATTGTCGAGATATTAGGGATATAGAATCGATGCCTAAGTAAAGGGAATGATTTTTGATACTTCAATGATATGCTAATGTGATTTTATACTCATTCCAACTTTTGATTTGACAACAACATTTTGGGTGATTGAATTTCGTTGTCGTATTATTTTTAGGGTAATTCTATACATAGCCCTTAGACTATACATAAACATTAAATATACTATTGAAAATTATATTAAAAATAGGAATTCATGACAAAAACACACGTAAATCGGTATAATTAGTGTGTTTTTCTAAATTTAAACAATTTTCTAGAGCATATTTAATGTTTATATGTAGCCCCAAGGGTTATGTATAACACTTTGAAATTAGAGACCAAACTTTAAATAAAAATAATTACCAAATTTAAATGGAAAATGATAAATATATAAGACAGTGTGTATTCATCAACTGACAATAATTATGATCACTAAGATAAAAAGTGCTTAGTATTTTTTTTAAAAGAAACAAAGTGTTTAGTATCTTATGTACTCCGTGGTTCTTTAATATATATATATATATATATATATATATATATATATATATATATATATATTAAGAATAGAAAATTAATAAACATTTATTATACCGATTTACTCGTGAATTGTCGATAGATTCTCAACCTAATACAGAGTACTAAAAAAGGAAGTATATTAAGGCTGCATATAGCTTTACCCATAAAAAAATAAAAAATACTCGTACAAAGCATATTAATTCTTATCAAAATTTGTAAAAATTACGAGACCGGACATGAGGGGAGGGAGGGGGGGAGGACATGAATGTATTTCATTTGCAATAACTTAGCTAAATGTAAATTAATCCCTAAATTCAAGTAATTATGTCTTGTTTAAGGCCAAAGATGATGTTTATGTCAGTTTTATGTCTAATTCATCTCTTAAAATATGTCAATAAATGACCATTTTCATGATTATATTGTTTTGATCAATTTGGTAAAGAGTCACATCCTCCCCTCCCATTTTTAGTTATGAAGAAGGGAAACTTTCTGATTATGTTCAGCTTACCTGAGTTAAGTTGGTTTGATTAAAAAATTTTATCTATATTTTGGACCTTATTAATTTTTTCTAATCAAACATTATTTGGCCATATTTAATCAATTTATATACTACGTATAATAATAATAAAAAAAAAAAAAAAATATTTGCCTAGATAAGCTAAATTGTACATACCTCTAAGCACTTAAGTTATCGCTACATTTGAAGCTAACACATGAACTTAAAATATCAAGATGAAAAGGGTAACATTGAAGATAAGACTACTCTTGCAATAATTTAAGGCACCAACATTACTACTGATTATGATACAAAAAAGCCAGTAATTTTATTGTATACTACAATCCAAAACACAATTTGAAATAAATTCATACTCTAAACCTGAGTAACCACAAATGTTCTTAGAAACCCCCAACATACAAAGATGAGCTTAATTCTGGATAACCCTCCTCAATAAAGGGAACAAGCTCACCACATATATGTGACAAAAATTAACTCTTATACCAAAGCTCGAGATATTGTCTGTCGCGGGATTATAAAGGTACAAATCACCATTGATGAGGAGCAGCAGATCACCATCCATTCGCCCAGCCATAACACCATAAGTAGACAAAACACCATAAAGTTTTGGAAATGGTCTGGAAGAGAACAAACATTGCCATGCCAATGGGACTCCAAAGTCATCATCAAATTCAGTGGCTACCCAGATATAAAAATTACCCGCTAACTCAGGATGAGATCTGCGGGTGACAAATACCGCGAGACATTCCTTGTATAGCCCAATATCATACTTTGTGTCAGAAGGGCCAGATAGAAAATCCCAATCCACTCCAGGAAGATCAGAAAATTTAAAAAGCTCAGTGCTCATGTTAAATGATAGGACCCAAGACCCATGACGCTGAGCTAGCTTAGGGTGCATATGACTTCCGAAGGCATTGCTAATCCAATAATAAACACCATTTATGCATGAACCCATAATAGGATTTTGAATCATGCCAAGACAACCCAATAACAATGGCGGCTCAAGTCTCTTCCAAGAGTTGGTGTTCAGGGAGTAAATATCGTATGCTAATCCTATGTCAGATGACACAATACTAGTTCTAGTCATAATCTTCAAATCATTAGACACTGAATGAAACATAAAACCTACTACCACAAAAGTGCATCCATACTGAAGATCAAGATCTGGTGCATCAGGATAGGCAATCATCCTAAATTCTCTTGTGGCCGGATTCCATAAGCAACAACTAATATTAACACTCATCCAATCTTGACTGGTGCACCAAAGTTCAAGACAAATGACACCATTAGCACTGCCTCTACAAATAACTTTCTCTTCTCTATAGGAGGGATCCATTGTGAAAACAGAATTTTTATCACGCTCTAGATCAGAATTCAAATTCAAAACATTGTCATCCCCTTGTTGTTTAGAGAGAAGATACCATTGGCTTGAGTCATTTACTACTGCAGTTGAGCGCTTCATAAGAAGGAGAGGCACATCCCCATTTTCTTTGCACATGGCACATTGAGCATGGTGGTGCATCGAAATGAATCTAGAACCGTCAATGAGGGCACACCATGACTTACTGACACATCGCATACGCAATAAGTCTCTCACTGGGAGCCTTGAAAGGATATTCTCAAACAGATCATCAGTAAGAATGCAGTTTGTTTCCCCAGAATCCATTTTGCTACAAGTAAATAAATTAGGTGAATTTCAACTGTTTTAAACATTAACATACTTCTTCAATTTCTTGTTATTCAAATGCTACAAATTCTCATCAAAAGTTATCATCTTGCAAGTAATAACATGTTCGTCAACTGAACTACTAATCACAAATTGGAAGTAAAACATTTAAATTGGAGTGAAATAGTTGATTCCAATTAAGAACAAGCAGATTAAAATTTTGGATATTGAATGATCAATTTCATACACCAGGGCCTTAATTACTGAGTATACAAATTACAGAACAAATCAAATTCTGAAAATGATTATGTAAAACAGGGGATTAAAAACAATTATCCATTCAATCCAAAGATAACAAAACTCGTTGAAAGGCAATCAATTATATCACAGGCAATCATGGTTTTGTAATGAGATTAAAGCAGGGTTATACAAAGCAAACCCAAAATCGAATAAAATTAAATCTCATTACAAAACCCGTGAAATTATAATGATATCGAAGAAATTATTGTTAAGTGAACAGTATAATTTTATGCAATTTAATTGATCTAAGTAAAATACTTATAGGTGTGAAAGAAAAATTGTGGGATAATAGTTTATTAAAAACAATTATTGTGGTGGAGAAAATTACGTTCACATTTGATGATTGGTGAGTTTAACACTTAAATAAACACTAGTTTAAGTCCCGTGCAATGCACGTTTTTACTTAGCATATTTATAAATTATAATGTTAATTTAACAATAATTAAAAATAAAAATCAATGTTTTTAATTGAAACAATACTTGATTTTCTTTTCCATTGAATTTTATATTATATTGATATCAAAAGTTATTTAAAAAAAGAAGAAGCAATATTTAATGATTATAGAGTTTTATATAAGATTAAAATGTTATGTTAATTATAACCCGTGAAATGTACTTATGTACCCTATATATCCCTATTTTGTTGACATGTTTTGACTGGCACAATATAATGTTTTATAGCATACTTTGACGGTATAATGTTTTATACAAATTTAATTGAATATATTTTTTGTGACAATTAATAATCAAGGTTTTTTAATTTTTATTTTATAGTTATTGAATTGTAGTGTTATTTTTATAAATAAATCAACAATTCTAAAAAAATATAAATAATAAATAAAAGGAAATGTAACAATCCCGGTTGGAGCAAAAAATCTTTCAAAGAAAAAAAAAATATGATGTAGAATGATATGAACTATGGAAAACTGGAGTTTTACATTATTCCAATATTCCTTATATTACCTTATATGTAGTATATGTTTGTTTGATATAGAAAAATACCTATTATAAAATATTATATGTCAAAATATTTTCATTGATTGAATGCATATAGAATATACTTTATATATAGTTGTCAAATTGAAAGTTAAATATTATAGGATATTATAAAATAATGTTCATAAATATTGTTAAAAAAAGGAAAGTAAAAGTGGCACTACTTAAAAAATTGCACAACTGTTTTGATAATGCATTACCATTGATAATTTGATATTGATCCCATCAACAACTTGGTTGTATTGAAGATTTACTCAAAGCGAACAGAGCAATTAACTCTTACACAAGGATAATTACAGAACTTCCACAATTTACAACAACTTAAGTTATAATGGGATTTTAACTACTGTCATACATCTTACATGAGCAACAAAAACACTCAATGATTATGAGGTTCAGAGGTTGTCTCTCTAGGAATTAGGGATGAAGTATGCCTCTCCACACTCATAGAAGATTGAGCTAAAGGAGTTTGGAATGAGGATGATGACGAGGGACCAGGGGCTGAAGTGGCAAATGTGGAAAGAGCGCTAATACTACCGCTCATATTCAAGCTAGTCCCGCTGATTGAACCTTCCGGGGCTGCCTTTGGGGCCGGAGGCTTTTCAATCGCCATAATCCCTTCCAACATCTGCACAACTTTACCCATCATAGGCCTTTGAGATGGCTGCTCTTGTATACACCAAAAGCTAACTTGAATTGCTCTTGTCACTTGATCCATATCCACAGCTAAGTCAGCAAGCCTCCTGTCTAGTATATTTCTCACCTTTCCCTTCTCAAACTCCTCATATGCCCAAATCGAGAACTTCTTCCTGTCTGTTTCGTTTGACACTTCAAAGTTTCTTCTGCCACTCACTATCTCCAACAACACCATACCAAAACTATAAACATCAGATTTTGAAGTTATTGGAAGATTAGCAAGCCATTCAGGTGCTAAATATCCTCTTGTACCTCTTACACTTGTGAGGGTGCGGTATCTATGGTCTTTTGGGTTAACGAGCTTTGCAAGGCCAAAGTCTGAAACTTTGGCATTGTAGTTATCATCTAAGAGAATGTTTTCTGGCTTTATATCACAGTGTACAATGCAATCCCGACATTCCTCATGAAGATAAGTAATTCCTCTTGCAGTTCCGAGGGCGATATTGAACCGATGCTCCCAACTTAAGAGTCTTCCTGATTCATCCTCTGTTGCAAAGAGGAAACTATCAAGAGAGCCATTTTTCATGAACTCGTAAACCAAAAGCCTATGTTTCCCCTCAGAGCAAAAGCCTATCAACCTAACCAGATTCAAATGATGGGTGCTACTGATCGTAGCAACCTCCATTCTAAATTGTTTTTCCCCCTGTTCAATACCTTCAAGCTGCTTCACTGCAGCAACAGTTCTATTGGCAAGGATGCCCTTGTAAACCGCCCCAAAACCTCCTGCACCAAGCTTCTCCTTGAAGTTCCTTGTAGCCTGCTGGAGGTCTTTGTATGAAAACTGTACAGGTGCACCTGATGCATACTCGAGAAGGGCATATTGAGCTGACAAACCTCCAAACTTAGGACTCTTTCTACAGCACCACCACCAAAGACTTCCTTCTAATAGTATCAATCCAACAAGGGTGCCTAGAACAACCACTGCAATGATCCAACCTTGCAGCTTCTCCTTTCCTCCTCCGTCCTCAGAGGAAGGAGGGGCATTTGGTTCGGCTGGGGCACAAACCTTCACATACGAGGTGCTAGGTAGAGCTGCAGACTCATATCCACTCACAAACCTCGATGTCTTAATATAACACTGCCCCGATCCATCAGCTAAAGTAGTCGAAGCCACACAAGAACTACCCGAAAGACAATTACCCCTACAAGCCGAAATACCCACAAAGTAGACATCATTCAAAGTCTCAGGAGCATACGTCAGGAACTTAGTATGCTCCATCTGCAACATCGCGACACTCCCAGGACAATCCTTAATCTCCCTCTTCAACTTACACCCTTTCTTACTATCATTCGGATCAACCGAAACGAAATTCTCCGACGGACAACCACACACAGGACTAGTATCATTGTAACTACAAATTCCCATATTACCACAATAACCAAAAACCTGACATTGATCACTAACAGCAGTCCATCTCACAGTAGCACTCCCACTACCTTTACTAGAACTATAAATCCTCAGATTCCCATCATTATCCAACCTTAAAAACCTCAAAATATCCCCAGATTCAGCATAATCACTCCCATAAGCCATAATCACAGAACCAGTTAAATTGCCATCATTAAGTGACAAAATCCCAATTGATTGAAGCTGTAATCTAGGGTTACTCAAATTACTACTAACAGTATCATTCAACCCTAAACTCCAATAAACAATATCTTTATTCCACTGTAAAGTTAAATTCCCAGTTCTATTCAAAGTAAAAGAATACAACCCAGATGATAAAACCATCCCAACATTAAAATTCTGAGATGGGACAATAGTATTAGTGGGATGATCAAAAGTAGACCAAACAACCGAATTAGACCGATTTTTGAGGGAAAAATTACCAGAATCATCAAGGGTAGCATGGGAAACGCCGGAATTCGAAGTATTCGACTGCCACAACAGATTACCGGCGCCGGAAAGCAGTCGGAGATTCCCGTCGGCGAGAAACGAGAAAGTTGCGGCGGAGTCAGCGACGGCGGAAATAGACCAAATGGAAAGAGAATCATAGGTGATTGAGAGAGAGAAAGAGGAAGAATTTAATGGGAGAAATCGGAGAGAGAAAGAGTTGTTTGGAGAAGGCCATGTTTGATTTGGGGTTGAAGCTGAAAGAGTTGAACCCAGTGGAATATCTGCAGAAGCTGAAAGAGTGAAGAAGAAGAAGAAGATGAAGATGAAAGTTGAAGAAATTGTAAGATTTTGCTTCATTTTTATTTGGGAAATTTAAGATTTTGTTCCAAATTGATTTGGGTATATAAGTATTTATTTAGATTTGGGTTTGGATTTGCAAATGAATTTCTGGGTTAATAAGTATTGAATTGAATTTGAGAGTTAGAGCATTTTTGACACGGTAAGTAGACCAGATAGTATGACTGTAGAAAGAACAAGTCAACAAATGCTGTCAAATATCTACTTGTATATTGGATGATTTTTCATAGGTGGAAGGTTTGTTGAATTGTTGTCCAAAACTTTTTTAGTGGAGTGGGGAACGCATATTCAAGTATGATTCAATGGACACTACTAAAACTAATATATACTTGTGAATAAACTCCGTCAAAACTTTAGAATTATTTTTAGTTAGAGCGAATTAAGTTCTAATACTATACTTTTATATTCGTAGTTGACATATGTATAATACAATTGTTAGCAAATTTTCAATATTTATTTTTATGCTTGATAATTGTTCAAATTGGTGTGTTAAAATGATTTGTATATTGATAATTGTATTATGATAAATAAAGAAAATTTTAAAACTAAGAGACATGGTCTTATGGAGTACAATATTTTAATTGAAGTATGAGAAAAGCTCATTCCAATTATGTGAGCTTACAGACTTGAGTATACTTTGAAGTCTTTAATGCATAAAATCAAATGAAAGTCTTCTATATCAGATAAATTTAATCCTCAAATATTACAGTAACAATAGTCTTTTATATAAACCTCCTTTTCAAGAAATTTTTTTGATCAATAATTGTATTTATTACTTCCCCTGTTCTTTTTTACTTGACCTATTTCTTTTATCACGCTTGCCAATGCAAAACTTTAACGATCAATAACTTAAATTCTCCAAAAGTAAATATTATAAAAATTACTTCCTCCGTTCTGTTAATATTGCAACAAGGAGGAAATTACGCATCCCAAAACACATTTTATATGCTTCTATAATTGTGTAAGAGTAAAAATTATAAAAAGTTGATATTGTGAAAGTATTTTATGAGACGAATCCAACAAGATCTCACTTGACTATATTTTGCTTAACGTATAACTCATATTATATGGTCAAACAAGAGTGATGAATAGTGCAAAAAGTCCATTGTTGCAATATTAATAGAACGTAGGAAGTATATATTATGATAGTACTTATTGAGACGAATCCAAAAAGATCATACCTGAATATATTTTTCCTTACATATTATTCACAAAATACGGTCAAAGGAGGGATGATAAATAGTGTAAAAGTCAAAGCGGGTCAAGTAATAAAGAACGGAGGAAGTATGTGTTTAAAATTTTTAGTACCCCTTCCATGAAATTCGATACTAAAAAAGTGAGTAAAACTAACTATTTTCCACGAACATTTTTTTTTTTTTTTTTTTTTTTTTGACAGCCGTGAAAAGGGCAATCAAGCCCCAAGAACATTAGAAGTCAAAATGCTAAAGCAATGAAAATTAGGAATAAGCTTCTTGAAATCACAAATCTTGTATCTGAACGGTTGAGCTCCTGAGTAGTCACCCTGCAGCCAGCTTGCAATTCTAGTATTGGAAGTACTATGCTGCAGATGCCATATCTTCTGACCCAGAGCAGCTCTTGTACCTGCAAGTATAGCATCCATACAGATTTTGTGTACTTCGTACTCTGTATTTTGATTTTGATTTTTTTTTTTTTTACCCCAAACCAGGGCAAGCTGGTGGAGCCATATTTATTGACTTTATGCAAGAACGCCAACTGTGTATATGCAATTATGCATCACTTTCATCTTTTGATTAGCAACTTGACAACGTAGTTACACATTTCACCAAACATCATATCACACATAAATTCATTACTTTCCCTTATTAATTATTTTCTTGGCCCCTAATTTATTACAGTACTTTCTCTTAACAATAATCTGTCGCAATTTCTTGTTGTTGGGACTGACTAGGAAGTTAGAAAAAGAAAATCCAATGTTCTACATTTTCAATTTCTTCCATCAAAATTTCAGAAATTCTGAATGTTCTTAGTTGATTTTTTAAGAATTACTGCAATTTCTGAAATTTTCAGTCAAAAGTGAAAAATATACGGTAGAAGTTCGTGGCTTATACGAAATACGGAGTATGAATAATTATTAACAGCTTTGTTACGTACTTAGATGCTAGTAAGATAATGACGGGTTACAAGTTTTTCAACTCTTCAAACACAGCCTAAAGCCAAAAAATGAAGAATATTCTTAGTAAAAGTGTATTGTTATAGGCTAATGCCAAAGTGCAGTGCAACAAGGCCAAGCTTCCATTCATCCTAACGTTCTATGTGACTTATGTGGGTAGCATTGTCCATTCTACAAGGACATGTCTCGTATCCAGCACGTACTTAGACCCACCTTAAACGCGTCCTGTACACATCTCAAAATTTCTATTGGTAATTTTCGTAATTTTATGCTATTAACTAACTTGTTGAGGTTTCTTAATTCTATAACAAGACCTCAACAAGTGTAGGGGCAAAAGCGAAAAAACAATACAACCAATTAAATATATGGTAAATACACTAATACATACATCATTAATCATAAATAATATAATCTACAAAATTTACAACAAACAAGGCTGCATCACCCTGTCATCAAACTGCATACATAGCTGCAAAGTCCTAGATAATGCGAAGTGTAATACTATGTAATTCATCTGTTCAAATCATTTTCTTCCTGTAGAAGGGAAGAGGAAGGACGTTCCAGATCTACTGCAGAGCCAAAGGATTTTTGCACTGATGAAGATGCACCAATGCTGGAACTAACACAAATGCTAGTACATAAATCCACTAAACCTTCCTCATTAGTACTCAAAGGAGGCGGATTTTCGACAGGTATAACTCCTTCAAGCATCTGCACCGCTTTCCCCATCACCAGCCTATGAGATGGTTGCTGTTGGATGCACCAAAAACTTACTAGAAGAGCTCTCCTAGCTTGCTCCATATCGAACTCTTCACCTAGCCTCTTATCGACTATGTTCATTATATTACCCTTCTCGAGCTCTTCATAGGCCCAACTGGAAAATTTTGTCATGTTTGTGTCCACTGAAACTTCAAAGTTTCTCCTACCACTGACAATCTCTAATAAAACCATCCCAAAGCTGTAGACATCAGATTTCGATGTAATTGGCAGATTAGCAAGCCATTCTGGCCCCAAATATCCTCTTGTCCCTCTGAAGGTTGTAAGCTTGTGAGTTTGTTGATCTTTCTGGTTGATGAGCTTTGCAAGTCCAAAGTCGGAAACTTTGGCATTGAGATTATCATCTAAGAGAATGTTCTCCGGCTTTATGTCACAATGAACTATACAATCACGGCATTCTTCATGAAGGTAAGTAATCCCTCTTGCAGTGCCAACTGCAATGTTGAACCTTTGCTCCCAATTCAAGTTAAAGGATTGATTTTCCCCTACAAAAAGGAACTTATCTAGTGAACCATTTTTCATGAATTCGTAGACTAGCAGCCTGTGACGGCCTTCAGAGCAAAAACCAATCAGCCTCACCAGATTCAAGTGGTGAGTGCTACTGATAGTCGCGACTTCCATCCTAAACTGCTTCTCTCCCTGCTCGATACCCTCAAGTTGCTTCACCGCAACAGCCATGTTGTTGTAAAGACTTCCTTTGTAAACAGCTCCGAATCCCCCAGCCCCAAGTTTCTCCTTGAACCCTTTTGTTACCCTCTTAAGATCCTTGTAAGAAAGTTGCACAGGAGTCCCAGATGCATACTCGAGGAGTGCATAATGAGGAGAAAACCCACCAAACTTGGGATTATTCCTAAAATACGTCCACCAAATGACACCACCTAATATGAATAACCCAACCAATGTACCTAAAGAAGCAAGAACAACAATTATCCAAGAATGCAGCTTCCAACTAGTAGAAGTGCCTGATCCCTCTAGTGTCATAGGCGGGTTTGGCTCAATCGGTCCACAAACCTTCACGAATGAACTTCCAGGGATCGTAGGAGACTGATATCCGCTAACAAAACCTGATGTTTTGATATAACAGTATCCTGTACCATCAGCCATGACAGAAGAGGCAACACAACCACTGCCAGAAAGACAATTCAACCTACAAGCTGTAGTACCTAAAATATATTGTTCAGCAGATGATTCCGGGGGATAGGTCAAGAATCGAGTATGATTCATAGGTAACACGGTCTCAGTCCCGGGACAATCTTTGATCTCAACCTTCCTCTTACAGCCTTTCCTACTATCAGTAGGATCAACGAAAAGGAAGTTCTTTGACGGACAAGAACAAGTAGGATCACCAGTCACATTGTAAGTGCAAATTCCCATATTACCACAGTACCCAAAAACCTCACATTGATCACTAATTCCAGTCCATTTAACAGTAGTAATTCCATTGCTAACACTATAAGTTCTTACATTTCCATCACTATCCAACTTAAAGAATCTAAATTCATTACCATCATCAAAATCACTACTGTAAGCCATGTTAACTGGACTAGACAAATTAGGATCATAAAGAGACAAAATCCCATTTTGCTTAATTGATAAACTAGGGTTTGTCAAATTGGAAATAACAGAATTATTCAATTTCACCCCATAATTCCAATATAAAATACTGTTATTCCACTTCAAAGTTAAATTCCCACTTCTATCAAGACTAAAAGAGTACAGCCCAGAAGTTAAAACATCAGAAACAGTGAAATTTTGAGAAGGTACAAGAGTGTCCTTAAGGTGTTCGAAAGAATGCCACACTGAAACAGAACCATTTTTAAGGACGAAATTACCAGAATCTTCAAGGGTAGCATGAGTAATTCCGAGATGGGTAGTGTTTGATTGCCATAAAACTTCGCCGGAGCCGTTGACTAGCCGGAGATTTCCATCGGAAAGGAAATTAAAAGAGGAATTTCCGTCGGTTATTCCGGCGGGTTCCCAGATTGAAACGGATCCTCCATATGCAATGCAGAGAGAGAAAGTGGTCGGAGTAATCGGAAGAAAGAGGATAGAGAAAGCATTTCTGGGTGATGACCATTTTTGGTTTTTATTAGAAGCATAAAGAGAAGAGCCTGGAAGAACATCAGCTGCAAAAACAGAGGATGATGATAATAATGGAGTGAAAAACAGAGGATAAAATATCAGAAAATTTCTGATATTCATTTTTATGTTTTTGAAAAGTTGGTTCCTCAATCACAAGAAGTCTCAATTCAGCATTTAATCTTGCATTAATGAGCCCAGCTGTTTTTTGATGTATATAGAGCTACTCGTACAAGGAGCGATAGTAATAGTAATGTAGACGGGATTTGATCTAAGGGTCTCGACAGCGACATTTGCCTAAATATATCCTGTTGTTGGAGTTGAAGGGAAAAAAGGGTGGCAGTACTCGAGGCAAAGGGAAATCAAGCCTAAAATGTTTTGTTTGTTTTCTCAGATATTCTGTTTATTTTGTTGACAAATATAGCGGGAAATGGAAATCAGAGTAAGAAGAAGGTGATGGAATTTTAGAAGTGAGACTTTTCAAGACCGTGGGGAACCTTCTTTTGACTATTCTAAATTTCTAAATATCCTTGTGTTCCTTGCTTTGAATTTTTTACTAGTAGTACAATAATTTCAATATCTTGACCCAATTATATATTAATTTAATTGTGCAATGTTTTTCGTGTGTTCTTATATAATCCAATACATAATTTTTAAAGGGTTAATAGATTTATATACATGCGTATTATTACGATTGAATGATTAATTTTTAATATGAAGTATTAAACTGAGAGTATTATACCTTGTTTTCAAGAAAAGTAATTGAGTTATTAGTGACTGTGTTAGATATTATAGAATAAGATAAATGTTGTCATTCTTTGATTTTTAATTATTTCTCAATCATCTCAAATACATTTTCTATATAATAAAGAACCAAAGAAGGCATAATTTGCTAAAGAAAATCAAACTCTTATTCCAAAATTGATCATGTACAAACTACTTCTTAGAACAAAATTGCTTAGGAAAAAAACATAAAGCAAAAAAAACGAACAAAAAGGAAAGTTTAAGCTAAAAAAGATAGTCTCTGATCCAAATTAAATCTTGATATAGGTCTAAGATAAAGTCTCCTCCTAATTACGGTTCTTGCCTGAGATCAACGCCTTAACATTAACCGGACTAACTTCGGCAGTGTTAGCCGAGTCGAAAGCCTTGCTAGCTAAGTAACAATTTGCTGCTTCAGTAAGATGAATTCCATCATAGTACAAATACTCATTTCTGTTTAGACATGTTTTACCAGCCTTCTTACAAGTATCTCCTAGGTTGGTATCACAACACGCGCAATTACAATTCTTGAATCCTGTCGCGGCTGCTGTTGCATTGTTAGTTATGACTTCTGAGAGAAGCTGGAACGAGTTGAGGACTGAAAATTCAGCATCAAGAAAGTTTTGTTGCTGATGCTTAAGCGCGATTTGTAGTTGGTCGTAAAACATTTCTGAGGCATCGTTTAGGAATTTTACGCATTCTTTACTCTCCTGTACAATGCCCGGACCACATCCTAGTGGATATGTTGAGATCAATAGGAATTTTCGAGCTCCCAATTTGTACAAGTCCTGCAATATTAATTTCATAATTCACGTACAACCATATGATAAATTGTAATAAATTAAACTTGTAACTGTAACGAACAAGCCCTAAGTTTATATGCTAATTATTACATGTGTACATGTATATATATATATATATATACACACGAAGTATATGTGTATTATCTAGGATATCGATGCTTACTGTGATGTATTCAACGTATTGCTTGACGAGATTGGCAGCAAAAACTTCGGGAGTTATGAATAAGTATTGCTTCAATATGTAATACGAAGAGTAATCGTTGTTTCCTGCTCCAATCACAAACAAATACTGAGGAAGTATGATTTGTCCACTGCATCCTAGCATATCCTTTAACTTTGGCAGAATATCGTTCTTAAATCTGTTTATTTGTTGGTCCATATGTTGAACTCCCTATATTATTAGATGACAATGTATATAATAAGATGAGTGTATGGATCATAGTTTAATATAATTAGTAACAAGAATTAGTCAAAGATATGTCTTGACCAGGCCATCGAACTAAATTAGTTGACATCTATATGACCAAACAAATTAAATGAATAAAAACGTGTTATTATATTGAAATGTTGAAACTTACTATTAAGAGTCCACCGGTAATAGCGAAAATGCCAGTGCCAGAGGAGCCAAAGTTGATACCATCAAGAAGAGGGGTACCCTTGTGGAAAAAATCCGGGTAAGGAGGAGGAGAATGAAGTTTAAGGTTATCGGCTACACAATCAACAATGGTCTTGCCATTGCTAAACCTGCCCGTAGGACCATATGGGAAATCAACACCATAGGGCATGTAATTGCTCTTTAGGTGAATTGTAGGAATGTTATTGTTGTTCCCATTGTCAACGACGTCGTCTCCAAATGCAAATATCCCCTTTAAACCAGTGATGTTATCACAAGCTAATGAGCACCTTACTACAAGCAAAAAAATTGAGAGAATGATGCACAAAACCGAACTTTTAGCAATGGTACGTACGTATTTTTTCGCTTTTTCGAGTGCTCTTAAGGGGATACTAGAGAAATGGAGAACGGGGAGACGATGTATGTAACACTAGCTATTGAGCAGACGTGATTGTGTGATTTGTGAAAGCAAATAAGGTATGATTTTATAGTGTTGCATGGTAACTAATTTGAGATTGTCTTGGATCTTTAACTCATCACTTGAAATTGTCTTCCTAGTAATTTGTTGTACAATTGCTTTCCTAACCATAAAATTGTCCCACGTATGTTTACTTATTATGGAAGATTTTTTGCCACAAGAAGTGCTACAAATTCAGAATTGAGATCTTGATTTAAGAACATGATACTAGAAAATTGAATAATAAAGCAAAATATATACTTCTATCATAAATAAGGTTGTCAGAAACTTAGGAGTCAGCCAAAATATGAGCATGCAGACAGATTGATGAAGATCCTTCTTACAAATCCAACCACCCACCCAAAATATGATAGCTAATAAATTCTCCTTAAAAAAAAAAAAAAAAAAAGAAGCTTTAGCAAAAATAATTTTATCACGGAGTATATTATTTTCTAACACGTTAAATTCCCATGAGACATGCATGTTAATCGTTAAGTTTTAACTTAGAAAGTTATAAGTGTCACTGTAGTACTCTAGTAGCATCACTAATATATCGTCTCATTATATGGTTTCAAAATATCAAATTTTAATAGTAATGTTTACTAGTTAAAAAATAATGATATCAAGGGCCAAAGTTGTGCATTGTCGCATGCTTATTATAACACTAAGCAAAATTTGGTCTTTTTTTTAAACGAAATTATAATATATTTTTGTTGTTGGGATATCAGTGTACTATCTTTGCCAACCACAAAAAACGGTTTACTTTACATGATCACACATTGAAAAAAAAAAATGGGGGGAAATACTCCTATTGTTGCAAAATTTCCAATATGTACAAACTAACTCTTATTCCACCAACTCATGCATATTGCATAACAATAATGTCACGAAATAATGATTAGAAAAAAAAAAAAAAAAAATACAAGATCGCAAAGGCAAAGCTTGGTCTTAAAATTGGACCAACTTTTCAAGATTAACAGGAAAAACTTGAGAGCTATCAATGGAATTGTAAGCTTTAGTTGCAAGGATAGCATTGGCAGCTTCGGTAAGGTGCAAGCCATCAAAGTAAACGTATTCATTCCTCTTTGGGCAAACTTTACCCTTCTTCTTGCAAAGTCCTCCCAGCATGCTTGTATCACAACAAGTAAAATCCACATTTGTGAAACCTGCGCGTATTAATTCACCTAGTTACAACTTATTACAATTATAACCTACTCAAAACTCAATTTTAGAAGATATAGATGTGCACGCGCATACACTTTGGTATGTAGTAGTTTATTACGTAGTACTTTAATTATCCTATCACGTATATTTTAAAGTTTGATTTAGAAGGTAGATCTTGTTAACATCTGAATTGATATATGTACTTGTAATATATGCACGAAATGTATATGATTCATTCCTTATTAAAGGCATAGATAGATAAGTACCTGATGCGTTTGCATTTTGTATCATGCCATTGATGATTTTGGCCGAATTGACGACAGAAAATTGAGCAGCAGGCATATGTTGGTCGTTCTTACGTTTAACCATAATCAACAGTTGATCATAATATAAATTTACAGCTGCATTCAGTTCTTTCACGCAATTTTTTTTGTTTTTGGCTAAAACAGGATTGCACCCAACTGGATACACCGATAATAACAAGAATTTCCTGGCTCCCAAATCATATAACTCCTGTAATAATATGATTAATTACACACCAACATATTACCTACTTAGTCATCATAATAAGATACATAAAAATTTTAGATGTAACAAGTAAGTCGAAGAGTAGATATTTTATCTTGTACTCAGTATGTTACTTTTATAGAGACTCTATATTATGTAGTCAAAGATATCTATTACGGAGTACTCATTTGGCAGGTAATAATAAATGATCATGTATATATGTTAACGAACAATTCATACCTTGAGTTGGGCAAACAAGTTACTGATAAGCTTAGCAGCAAAGACTTCTGGAGTCCAAATGATGTTTTCGTGCAAGAGGTAATAGGAAGAGTAATCGTTATTTCCAGCTCCCACCAAAAACAAGTATTCAGGAAGTATTTTGTGTGCTTTACGCCCAATTTCGGTCTCCAATTGAGGCAAAATCTTGTTCTTAAAATTCTTAATTTGATTGTTCATACTTGTAACACCCTGTATTTAAAGCAGAGATATACTTATAAAACAGAGGAAAAACAGGGTCCATCAATATTATTAACTCAAAGTACGTACGTCCCATGCAAAAAGGTTACAAAATGATACATGAGTAAATGACATAATGCAATTAAATGACTCACAAGTCAGAACCATCACAAGAGTCATGTCATAATGTAACTACTTATTTGTACGGTACTTTAAAAACTTAGGTTGTTACTTAAGTTATTACTTAATCTATTTCAAAATACATTTTGATTTTTTTCAAATACAATGATTTTTTTCACTATTACTATAATACTATGTAATACGTTGGTCTTTAATTATGATTAGCTTACTCAACAATCAATTTCTTCATTAATTAATTAGCCCCTTCTTAAAAATGAATTTTAAATATGATCAACATTTTTTACTCTGCTTAAAAATCATCGCGTGATAAATGGGTCAAATAATATATATACTCCATAACTTACGAATAATTGTTAATCAATCATAAGATGAACAAAGAAATAAATCATTACAGTCGACTTCTACATTTTCATTCAACTTAACATGAATAAGGAACAACCAATTACAAGTCGATTTTGTGTTTCTACATTTTCATACGAATTCCGAAATTACTTTTTATTTGGCAAAACCAATGAAATAGGTTCGTACAATATAATTTTAATTTAGATCTTACACTCCAAGAGTATATATATTAGGCCTATATATTATTGTGGTGAATCAATGCAATATAATTTTCCATTATAATTTCAAATCATTTGATAGCTAAAATACACAAAACTTGAAGAATTTCAATAAAGGAAATAAATTAATTAAGCTCATTATTAGAATTTTTTTTTTTTTTTTTTTTTTTTTGGGGGGGGGGGGGTTATTATTAGAATCTAGTATGTGCCCTAATATGTTCTTTTATTGGTGGGAGTGCAATGCAAGAATTAAACCATGATAAATCAAACATCCTTTAAAAAGAAATTAAAATTTATGTTTACCAGTAAAACACCAGTTACATCAAGGATGCCCGGACCACCGGACCCGAAATTAACACCATGAACAATAGATTGACCCTTAGCATTAGGATCAGAGAAGGGTGGAACAAGAGGAAGCTTAAGGTGATCGGCAATAAGATCGGCTACATTCTTTCCATTCGAAAATCGACCGGTTGGACCCAATGCAAGATCAATACCATATGGTAGATAATTGGCCTTCGCAAAATTACCAAACAAATTGTTGTTGTTTCCATTATCAACAATCGAGCTCCCAAAAATGAACATTCCCCGCAAACTACTTCCGTTGTTTAAATTTGTTGGCGAGGCATCGACGACGACATTGCTATAGCTAGCTAATACAAAGAAAGAAAGGGTGATGAAGAGATTTATGGAAATGGAATTGCTATTTGGAGTTCTAGACATTCTATAAATGTTCCTTTTTTGTGTGTGAAAAAAAAAAAATGTGTTTAGGATTGTTGATTCATGTTTAAAAAAATGATCATGCAAAAATTAAATGATAATGAGCGTATGAGTCGTCGAGAATTGGTAGAGTGAACCTTTGCATTTCCCTATTATAGGCACAATTTATATTTGCATGGTTGGATTTTTGTAAGCTTTTAGTACATTTATTCTAAAATTGGTCTCTTTAATTAATGTTTGTCTGGATTTTAACTTTAACTTTGAAGATACATTTCTCTCAAACAAATTGTAATATAATAAGGAAAAAAAATATTGTAACATAATTATAAAAATTAATACTCATACTACTATATGTTTTTTACTTCCTTTTTGCGATCAAGTCTAGTAAATTATTTGCAATGTACAATGGTTGAATAGAAAATAACGATAAAGATGGAACCTAGCTTACAACTATTTAGAGACAGAGAAAAATGTTTAAACATGAATGTATCAATATATCATGTTTGTTTGGTAGATTTAAATTTTGAGTTTCGCTATATTTAATTTTATACAACAATGGGGCATTTCAATGAGATTCACATTTTTTTTGTATTGCATGCAACTTAGCTAGTATATATATATAGCTCTCTAATTTCAATAAGAATTTTAATTACCTTTCTCGTAGAAGCTTGTATAAGGTCTAGAATTGTATAGAAACAAGTGAAAGACTTCTTTTAATAACTAAATCGTGTATATATACAGTAACGCTGTCATTTTGAAGTACAATTAGTTAACTAGCTCTTCTTTTAACAACTTTATAATCACAATTCTTAGTCCTGTCAAAAAAAAAAAAAAAAAAAATCACAATTGTTAGAGCTTCGTTTTGTATTTTCTTACTCTATATCAAGTATTTACTAGCAATTTTACTGTTACACGTATGTTTGATTCAACCTGATTTGGAACTTAACAACATTTATTTCTACAAGTTTTTTACCAATACTATTATTACGGAGTATCATTTATACTTTATGAGACAATCACATTAATGTGAAAATAAATGTATATAATATTGTACCAAAAAAGGAAAGGAGATTATATTATGTGACATGTTGAGCTAGCTCGAGATTGGCAGTTGGATTCTACTCCGTGTAATAAGCGATCGATATAATTGCGCCATCTATTGTGTGTCTTTACTCTCTAGTGATGTTCAACACTTCAAATTTGATGCCTCAAAATTGGCTTATTGACCAAAAAAAACATTTTACAAAAAAAAAAAAAAAAAAAAAAGTTACTTATGGTTTTGAAATTCATTGAAATTTGTAATTTTTTAACATGGGCTTATGTTACTGATATAGAAAAAAATGAGTATTATACATACAAAACAAGGAAGTTGCTAATTTTTTTTTTTTTACTTATGAAAAAAAAATTTTAGCAAATAAAATTAATTACTTTATAATGTGAAGGGACTATTTGATGATTATAATTGAAAAGATACAAAAGCCCTAAATTGTGGAGTTTTTGTACATAGATTAGAGGTGGGTTTGAGCAAGTTGATGAAGATTGATAGGATAGGCTTCGGAGTGGTCGCGAGAAGTATAAGCCTTAGTTGCTAAGGCAGCGCTTAGAGATTCTGTGTTGTGTTGGCCATCAAAGTAAACATTGCTTCTCCTGTCTTCACATACATTGCCATTTTCTTTGCAAGACAACCCATTTAATGATATTTCACAGCAAGGCCCACTCACATTACTGAAACCTACACATATAGAATATGTATAACACTCATCTATCAATATTCGAGCTTATTATTATAAGCCATGTTCGGCAAAATTAATTGTTATCACTTATTTATTTGAGATAGAAATTGTACCTATTGAATTCGCGTTGTTTATGATGTCTGTAATGATTTTCACTGAATTGATGACAATGAAATTTGAACCAGGCAATTGGGGTTTGACCTGATTGACCATAGATATCAACTGATCATAAAATATAGTAATGACATCATTTGGTCCTGGTAAGCATCCTTGGCCTTTGCTCACAACAGGGCTGCATCCCAAGGGATACACCGATAGCAGTAAAAAATTCCTTGCTCCCAAGTTGTATAATCTCTATTAAACATCAAACGCTTTAGTAGTACAACATAATTAGCCAACTATCGACATGTACTCCTTTCATCTAGAATTAGTTGTCACGTTAAAAGTATAATATGAAATAGTGATAAGTTTACCTTGAGTTGAGCAGAATAAGCAGAGATAAGTTTTGCAGCAAAGGCTTGGGGAGATTGAGTAAGCTGCCCTAGTAAAAAGTAATTTAGAAGGTAGTCATTGTTTCCAGCAGCAAGAAGAAACAAATAATCAGGGAGTATCTCCTTTCTTTGACATCCAAGCTGGCTTTCTAATTTTGGCAAGGTCAATGCTTCAAAGTTTGTAAGTTGCTCATTCAAGCTGATCACCCTCCCCTGTATTATTTCAGAGTTTGTGACTTCATTCATTTGTTTGTGTAATAAACTAACTATTATTGACTGTTAGTTGCTTGTATTGATGATAGTAAATTTTCTTGGATTATTTATTTTTGATAAGTTAGGATATAATACTGTTGTATGGAGACTTGAGAAAATACTTTCAAACTATTATTTATGTTTCTTTGTACAAATTTGATGGAAGAGCATAGGCAAATTGAAAGTTTTCATAAGCATATCAAATTTTGGTAAAATAGGGTTACATGGAGATCAGGTTGCTGCTTGTCATCTGTTACTGTAACACCCCGACCCCAAACAAATTAGAAGACTACTCCCAGGGTCCCAGCCAAGCACGTTTAACTGTGGAGTATCTTATCATATAAACTCCCTAAAAGAAAGATGCATCTTATTGATACGAGTAGTATATCAAATCCTTTTAAAGCAATAATGAGGGGTTTAATTTTACAATTACAACCTTTAAACTTAATTGATGTAATATGTGAAATCGACATGTTGCTAGTTCTTATCATGTGCATATTATTGAAATATGGAAAATGAGGTATTTAAAACAGAATAGTTAGTTGGATAAACAGACAATTTCCTACTTTTCCTCTTAAAAAATAAAGTGACGCGAAACAATTCAAATACAATTATGTTGAATTGACTACCTTAATATTTTGATGATTGACTTACGTAAAACAAACTCTGACTAATGATGTTTATGAGTCTTGGTTGAACAGAAAGATTCAGGTACACAAATACATGTTTCGGAGTAGGAACAACAGAGTTTGGAAGACTTGATGATGAATGCAAGCTTTCAAGATGTCCTCACAACTCTATATACTTAGTTATTCAGTGTACGAGCTTAAGAAACAAAAGTGTTGGAAGGAATGGAAGGAATTAAGAAGAAACTCGAAGTTCCTGAAGGAACCTGAAGTTCCCGAAGGAACTTGACGATTGACTCAGAAAGTTTTAAACGAAAGTTTTAAAACGGTTTTCAAAACCCTTAATTTAAGGAAGTGATAAAAATCAGTTTTGAAAAAGATTTAAAAAGATTTTATAAATAAATAAATAATTCATTAATTTAAAAAGATAAGTTTTAAATTAATTAATTATTTATCTTTTAATTAATAAATAAATAATTATCTTTTTTATTAAATAATTATCTTTTTGAATAACTGATTTTTTTGACTTGGTAAATACTGGCTCCTAGTATTAAGGAGAACGTTGAACTTGGGAGTCAAGCTAAGGAAATCATGTTCCTAAATTTCCTTTGCCTACATCCCAACTTCCCAGTCAAAGAGAACGTGGGATTAAGGGGGAAGTGGGAACTTGATGGAAGCTTGGTTTAACTCATAAAAACAGATCAACGTTAAGTTTTGAAAGCGTGGAAAAACAATCTTAAGTATTCTGAGCATAGAGTTTCAAAGTGTTTAAAAGAGAAGTTCCTTCCATCCTTAGTCTCTTAAGTTCTTTAGGAAATACTTGTAATCATTGTGTAATTGGGTTTGGGTTGTGAGAGTTGTAAAGTGTGAGACTTGAGAGAGTTGTTTACACTGTACAAGTGATTCGGAGTAGAATCACAAAGTGTGAGAAACTGTGATTGAGGGATCACAGTTGGGTAACTTGAGTTCCTCACGGAACTTGAGTCTAGGCAACGTATTAGTGATTGTAAATCATTTTTACATAGTGAATTTATTCATTGCCTATCTCAGTGTCTTTTCTCTTAGTAGTAGATTTAATTCCGCAAAATTTACCATAGTCTACATACACTACAATTCACCCCCCCTCTTGTAGTATACATTGTTCTATCAATTGGTATCAGAGCAAGGAACTCGGAAAAGCAGGAAGCCCTGTCGAGTCAAGTTCCTGGAGGAACAATGTCAAAGGACGAGGGACTAGCTGAAGGTTATTCTACACAAAGACCTCCACTCTTCAATGGGAAGTACTACGCCTATTGGAAGACGAGGATGGAGATGTTCATACAGTCCGAGAATTATCAAGTCTGGCGATCTATCAAGGTAGGAGATTACGAGGTAACAAAGACCAATGCAGAAAACGAGGTAATTCCTAAACCTATTTCTGAATACGATAGAAGCGACTTTGAGAAGAAAGAGATTAATGCTACTGCTAAAAAACTCCTAGTTTGGGGTTTAGGGCCAGATGAACACACTCGTGTTATGGGATGTAAAACAACAAAAGAAATATGGGATTTACTAGAAATAACCCACGAAGGAACTCATGAAGTTAAACGTTCTAAAATTGATATACTGCTTTCTAAACATGAACGTTTTGAAATGAGTTCAAAAGAAACTATTCAAGAAATGTTTACTCGTTTTAAAAATATTACTAATGAATTAGTTTCTCTTGGTAGAGTTATTCCTATGGATGAACAGGTACGCAAAATTCTAAGGAGTCTTCCTGAAGATGAACGGTGGAGATCCAAAGTGGCAGCTTTGCAGGAATCAAAGGACTTTACAACTTTCAACCTTGAACAACTTGCAGGTTCCTTAATAACTCATGAGCTTCACCTATCAAACAAAAGCCAAGAAAGTTCAAAGAGCCGAGGAATTGCTCTAAAGGTTGTCCAACCAAGTGAAGAGGATTCCGAATCTGGAGAGAAAGAAGCTGCCATGCTAGTCAGGAAGCTAAAAAAGTTGTACCGCAACAAAAGGTTTGGTGACCGAAAGAAAAGGAACTTCAAGAAAAACCAATATTCCAAGGAAACTGGAGGATGCCACAAATGTGGGAACACAGATCACTTCATCAAGGAATGCCCTCTCTGGGAATCAGAAAAAGGAAAAGGCAAAATGAAGGAACACGGAAAATCTAATACTCCAAACTTTTCAAAATCTGATTACAGGAAAGCCATGATAGCTGCGTGGGGAGACACAAGTTCCGAGGATGAAGAAGAATCCACGGAAGAAGAGACGGCAAACCTGTGTTTGATGGCTAAACACAGTGAGTCTGCTAAAAAGTCAGAGGAGGTAAATCTCGAACCTAAATTTCTAAAATCCCTGTCAAAAGACAAATTAATTTCTTTGCTCATAGAAACTTTGGATGAATATAAAGAAATATGTCTTAAACTTGGACAAAATGAAAAAGATCTAGAAATCTATAAGGATCATATGAAATATTTGAATAGTTCAAGAACAGATGTTCAGGGAAGATTCTTTGATTTGCTAGATAGAAACACTATGCTTAAAGAAACACTGGAAAGAGTCAAAAATGAAAATATCATGTTAAATGTTGAATTGACTCAGTATAAATTGTTATGCACTAACATTGATTCTAATAGTGCTCTTCAATTGCCTTTAGTAACCTTTAATGATGATCTTGAAAATTTGAAAAAAGAATTGCAGGTTAGTAAAGACAAAAATGAATCCCTTGAAAAGGATTTAAAAAGAGCTAGAAACAACAAAAGTGCAATCCACATGGGAGTTCCAAGGTGGATATCCGAAGCTCAAACCAGAAGGACAGAGGGTTTGGGTTTCAACCACAAAAAGAAGAATAGTGGTAAAAAGAAAAAGTACGTGGAACTCCCTAGTGAGACTGTGTGTTCCTTCTGTGGCAAGTCAGGACACAAAGATACTGATTGCAAAAGAAAGGAACTTAAGTCCACTAAAAATATAGCTTATGTATGGAAAAAGAAAAATGAGTTTGCTGTATCAGCAAAGGAACTCATGAAAGATGGGGTTCCTGAATCTAACCCTTAGTTTCTTTTGCAGGTCGTAGTGAGGGGGAACAACCAATGGTACCTCGATAGTGGTTGTTCCAAGCACATGATAGGAGATAAATCAAGATTTCTCTCACTGACGGCCTATACCGGAGGAACATTGACCTTTGGTGATAACAAGAAAGGCAGCATTGTTGCCGTAGGAAAAGTTGGAAGGTCAAGTTCCCAAGCTATTGATAATGTTTTTTTTAGTCGAGGGCCTCAAACACAGCTTATTAAGCATATCACAATTTTGTGATAAAGGAAACTCTGTAAGTTTTGATTCTGAAAAATGTAGCATCATTCAGAATGACACTGGGAAAGTTTTGCTAGAAGGAACTCGGAAAGGAAACACTTATACAGTGGATCTCAATACAGTTCCGAGGAACAACTTAACTTGCCTCAGTGTCATTGAGGATGATCCTTTACTGTGGCATAAACGTTTTGGTCATGCAAGTTTCTCTTTGATTGATAAGTTAAGAACAAGGAACTTGGTAGAGGGACTTCCTTCAATCAAGTTCCTATGTGACAAAATTTGTGACGCTTGTGTGAAAGGAAAGCAGGTCAGGACATCCTTTAAATCCAAGAAGATGGAACATGAGGACTATGACTTTGAAATTAGTCTAGTACGTTCTCAAGAACAAGAAGAAGATGCAATAATTCCAAATAAGCAGCCAACTCGAGTAAATGAAAATCATGAAAATCCGGAGAAGGAACTCGACATACTGACTGAAGTTCCTTCGACAGATCAGCCTCAGATTGAAGAACCTGCCGAGGAACCAATAACACAAGAGGAAATCACTGAAGAAGAAGCAACTGGCTCAGAAAATAAGAATAGTCGAGTTACTATCCAAACCTTCCAGCCCAAACCTTGGAAGCACCAAAAGTCACACCCACTGGACAAAATTATTAGTGACTTATGCAAAGGAACTCAGACTAGATCGCAAATGAGGAACTTCTGTGCCTTCAATGCTTTTCTATCTACTTTGGAACCTCGCAACCATAAAGAAGCCTTAGAAGACCCTGACTGGATTATAGCCATGCAAGAGGAACTTAATGAATTCAAAAGAAATCAGGTATGGCATCTTGAACCTAAGCCACTAGATAAAAAGGTCATAGGTTTAAAATGGGTCTTTCGAAACAAACTTGATGAAAATGGTACAATTGTAAGAAATAAGGCTAGGTTGGTTGTTAAGGGATATAACCAACAGGAAGGTATTGATTTTGAGGAAACATTTGCTCCTGTTGCTAGACTTGAGGCTATTAGAATTTTAATATCTTTTGCTGCTTTTATGGGTTTTAAACTGTATCAGATAGACGTAAAGTGTGCGTTTTTGAATGGTTTATTAAAAGAAACAGTTTACGTCGATCAACCCCCTGGATTCGAGAATCCAAAATTTCCAAACCATGTTTTTAAACTTGATAAGGCTCTCTACGGGCTAAAACAGGCTCCAAGAGCATGGTACGAAAGACTGTCCAAGTTCCTTTTGGAAAATGATTTTAAACGAGGAAAAATTGATAAAACTTTGTTTTTAAAATCTAAAGGAACTCATCTCTTAGTTGTGCAGATCTATGTTGATGATATTATATTTGGTGCAACTAACGAATCTTTGTGCAAGTACTTTGCAGACTTGATGTGCAGTGAGTTCCAAATGAGCATGATGGGGGAACTCAATTTCTTTTTAGGACTGCAGATCAAACAAACAGAATCAGGAATATTTATACATCAGCAAAAATATGTCAAGGAACTCCTGGAAAAGTATAACCTTGACAGCGCAAAGACTAACCACACTCCTATGGGAACTAACTCTAGGTTAGACGAAGATCCCTCGGGAACTTGTGTGGACCAGACAAAGTACAGAGGTATGATTGGTTCCTTACTATACTTAACTGCAAGTAGACCTGACATTTCTTTTAGTGTTGGTCTGTGTGCTAGGTTCCAATCAAACCCCAAAGAATCGCATCTAACAGCCGTCAAGAGAATACTAAGATATCTCAAAGGAAGTGACGACTTGAGTTTATTCTACCCAAGAAGTGACACATATGATCTTACTGGATTTGCCGATGCCGACTATGCTGGGGATTTGGTGAATAGAAAAAGTACATCAGGTATGGTCCAATTCCTAGGATCTTGTTTAGTTTCTTGGAGTTCCAAGAAACAGAATACAGTTGCTCTATCCACAGCAGAAGCAGAATACGTAGCAGCTGCTGCATGTTGCTCACAACTGTTGTGGATAAAACAACAATTACGTGATTTTGGCATAGTTCTTGAATGTGTTCCAATATACTGTGATAATACAAGTGCTATTTGCATATCAAAAGATCCAGTACATCATTCACGTGTAAAGCATATTCATGTTAGGCATCATTTTCTAAAAGACAATGTGGAAAAAGGCTCTATTAAACTAGAATTTGTACAAACTGAATATCAAATTGTTGACATTCTAACAAAGCCTTTGAATAGAGAAAAATTCGAAAAGATGCGATTGGAACTCGGAATGATAAAGCTGAATTGAGCAGTTCTTCTTAGAACCCCAAGGTATGTCTTAGTGAAACGACTGAGCATTGCTATATATAACCTTGGTGTGAAAAACATATTCTCGAATCTTGCAATGAAAGAGTGTGTAATTCTAATGAGTATGTGATCATGTTGATGAAGAAGACAAATTAAGCCATATTATTTTCCAAGTTCCTTTTTGTAAAGCTCTGTACATGTTAACTAGTATTTTACTTTGAAGTAACTTACTGGAATTTTTTTTTCTTTCGTAATTTTTATTTTTCTTTATTTTTCAATTTTTATTTTTATCTTTTTATTATTTTTGTTATCTTATAAATTTAAAAACAACAAAAAGATTTTTTTTCTCAATTAGATTTTATCTTATTTTTTTTTAATTTTTATCATTGTCAAAATAAATCACAACCTTTTCTCTATCCCACTAAACTCTCAACTATCACCTATCTTTTCACCTCACTTACCACACGCACCCACTCACCTCAAAAAACCCCAAAACACCAACCGCCACTTCCAACCTTCAAAGTTCCTCTAACCAATGAAGAAACCCACCCCTTGAAACCAGAAAACATACTCCATGAAAAATCCCTCTCAAAATAAAGCCTTAAAGTTGTTCGTGGAAAAGTTTGTTTTATTACCGATGTACACTCGGAATCCGAGGAAGAGGGAGATCAACGTGAGGGGGAACTGAATGAGAGGGAAAGCATTGATGAGGAGGAAGACAATGAGAAGGAAGAAGTAAAAGAGGAAGACAGTGAGAAGGAAGAAGTAAAAGAGGAAGAAAACAGTGAGAAAGAAAAAGAAAAGAAAGAGAAAGACAGTGAGAAAAATGATGAAAAAGAAGAGGAAACAAAGAGTGAAAAAGAAGAGGAAAAAGAGAGTGAAAAAGAGTGAAAAAGTGCAGTAGAGAGGGAAACAGAAGAAGAGAAAGAAATAGAGAGTGAGAAGGAGGAAAAAGATGACAAAGAGGAGTTAGTGAAAGAGCTACTCAAGGAAATTGGAGGCTCTGTTAAACAAATTGTCCCTGTAACAGGTAGAAAAAGGAGAAGTGTTAGACTTGCTTCTTCTAAACCCAGAAAACTGAGATCTCAGCCTGTTATTATTGTTGAATTGGATGATGATACATCTAAAGTTTCTGAATGAACTTCCACCCAAGTTCCTCAGGGTCCGTCTTCCCTTGTTTCTGAAGGAACTCCATCACCACCCCCTATTCCTTCCTCTGTTCACCAAACCACACCTTCTCCACCTGCTTCACAGCCTCGTACTTCTGGTTTCGGCTTCAGTGCTTTTAGCTCTGGTCTAAGTTCCTTGCAAATCCAGGAGGAACTTTAGCTTTTGTCCACTACACTTACACAAAGTATAACTAACCTTTCTTCTAAAGTGGATAACCTGGCTACTAAAGTTGAGGGGCTGCAAACTCAGATGCTTTCTCTGGAAGATAAAGTAAATGCTCATATGGACTCCTCGGCTCAGGAACTCAAAGCTAAAGTGAAGCAAAGTTGTTACAAGACCATTCTCGATGCGATCAAGGATGTTACCTTACCATGAAGCTGCTACCATTTCCTAGCCCTTTGCAAAACAAACCTACCCCACTCTTTCTTGTGATTTATTAAACAGTGATATTGTCCTTCAATTTTATTTTGTTTGGCTTGTTTTGAACACTTTATTTGTTTTATTTCGATTTGTATTAAACTGGCTAAGTTTGTCTTTGAATTTGATGTTTTCATTTTGGTTGCATATGAACTGTGTGCGCATGCTTAATCGTTCATGAATTCAGATTTACTACTCCCTCCGTAGTTTAGTACTATATATGCATGCTCTTTATATCATTTTGATAATGTCAAAAGGGGGAAGAGAAGAACAAACTCAGAAAGCCGGACTCAAACCGATTCCCTTCAAGTCTTCATCATTAAGTGAAGGTATACTTTCATAATTTATTAATTTAATGAATGATGTAGACTTCTTTATCCTTAGTTTATTTTATTGCTTTAAATAATTTAATTGTTTTATTTAAGTATTGGTTACTCTGATTGCTTGGATGTTTGTTTTGTTTAACCGAGTTTGTTTTTGTTTGTCATCATCAAAAAGGGGGAATATTGTTGAATTAACTACCTTAATATTTTGATGATTGACTTACGTAAAACAAACTCTGACTAATGATGTTTATGAGTCTTGGTTGAACAGAAAGATTCAGGTACACAAATACATGTTCCGGAGTAGGAACAACAGAGTTTGGAAGACTTGATGATGAATGCAAGCTTTCAAGATGTCCTCACAAATCTATATACTTAGTTACTTAGTGTACGAGCTTAAGAAACAAAAGTGTTGGAAGGAATGGAAGGAATTAAGAAGAAACTCGAAGTTCCTGAAGGAACCTGAAGTTCCTGAAGGAACCTAAAGTTCCCGAAGGAACTTGACGATTGACTCAGAAAGTTTTAAACGAAATTTTTAAAACGGTTTTCAAAACCCTTAATTTAAGGAAGTGATAAAAATCAGTTTTGAAAAAGATTTAAAAAGATTTTATAAATAAATAAATAAATAATTCATTAATTTTAAAAAATAAGTTTTAAATTAATTAATTATTTATCTTTTAATTAATAAATAAATAATTATCTTTTTTATTAAATAATTATCTTTTTGAATAACTGATTTTTTTGACTTGGTAAATATTGGCTCCTAGTATTAAGGAGAACGTTGAACTTGGGAGTCAAGCTAAGGAAATCATGTTCCTAAATTTCCTCTGCCTACATCCCAACTTCCCAGTCAAAGAGAACGTGGGATTAAGGGGGAAGTGGGAACTTGATGGAAGCTTGGTTTAACTCCTTATAAAAACAGATCAACGTTAAGTTTTGAAAGCGTGGAAAAACAATCTTAAGTATTCTGAGCATAGAGTTTCAAAGTGTTTAAAAGAGAAGTTCCTTCCATCCTTAGTCTCTTAAGTTCTTTAGAAAATACTTGTAATCATTGTGTAATTGGGTTTGGGTTGTGAGAGTTGTAAAGTGTGAGACTTGAGAGAGTTGTTTACACTGTACAAGTGATTCGGAGTAGAATCACAAAGTGTGAGAAACTGTGATTGAGGGATCACAGTTGGGTAACTTGAGTTCCTCACGGAACTTGAGTCTAGGCAACGTATTAGTGATTGTAAATCATTTTTACATAGTGAATTTATTCATTGTCTATCTCAGTGTCTTTTCTCTAAGTAGTAGATTTAATTCCGCAAAATTTACCATAGTCTACATACACTACAATTCACCCCCCTCTTGTAGTATACATTGTTCTATCAAGTTAACTTTTTTATGGGGTGTTGTTGCTAGCACATTATCAAACACACTAGCACACGCATTACGTCATTACGTGACTAACTGACTATAACTTAGATAAATACTTTTTTATGGGGTGTTGTTGCTAGCACATTATCAAACACACTAGCACACGCATTACGTCATTACGTGACTAACTGACTATAACTTAGATAAATACTCTGTAATTGAATAATTCTACCATATATAGAAATAGTATAGAACTTTATTTGATCTAGTAAAATGAGAGAGTTAATTATATTTACCACAACCAGGCCAGATTCATCTAGGATGCCGGAGCCGCCGGAGCCGAAGTTGACACCGTAAAGGATAGAATCCCCTTGAGTTTGAGTATCAACAAAGCTTGGAATCAAAGGAAGCTTAAGATAATCACCTATAAAATCAGCAAAATTCTTCCCATTTGAGAATCGGCCCGTCGTTTTTGTTGCACCATCTATACGAAAATCGATACCATATAGTAGATAATTGGCTTTGGCTATGGTACCAAAAACATTGTTATTGTTTCCATTGTCAACTACTGAACTACCAAAAATGAACATTCCCTTAAAACCGCCTCCTTTTTTAGGCATGTTTTTTGCATTGCAAAAACAAGCCAATGCAAAGAAACAAAGGGAGATAATTCTTATGCAATTGCTATAAATGGCCATGAAATTTTATTACTTAAAGTAGCTATAATTTGATGTACTATATTTTGATGAAATGTAAGGGGTATATGTAGGAAAATTGATCTTTATATCTTGGAAAGTGGACAAATCAATGGTCTAATTTTAATAAAGATTTAATGCTTAGATATTAATGGGGCCTAGTCCCTCTCCTTCACCAAAAAAAAAATGCGTAGATATTAATAAAAATAAAAAATAATAATTATAACGATGTGTTGGAATTAATTAATGATCAAAATATTGGAAAAGACAATATCTTAAAATATGGATTATATTTGGGTATACTTCGTCATATTAAATGGAGTAATTAATATACTGTTATACTCTGTATTATGCTTCGCTAAGCTAGTATGTAGGACGTTTTTCCAAAGTGAGCCAATTTTGGCAAATATTAACCAAAATGGTTGCATGGCAAAAGTATTTACCAAACTAAGCTTCCAGGCTAAAACGCTGTCTCGGTCAGCGTTTTATGCCTGGGTTTTTTTTTAAAAAAATCAACCTAAAAACGCTGTCTGGGACAGCGTCTTTGTTGTTGACCTTTTTTTTAAAATTTTTGTAATTGCCTTTTATTTATAAAAATGTTTTTAAAAAACAAAAACAGTTATACCAAAGACGCTGTCCCAAACAGCGTTTAAGGTAATTAATGAAACGCTGTCTGAGACAGCGTTTCTGTCGTTTTTTTTTTCCTGCACCAGCGTATTTCATCCTTTCATTTCCTCCTCCTTCATTCTCAAACCCCTTCTTTCCCAAACTCTAACTTAATCCCCCTCTCTCTCATACTTGTGCTCCTCCGTATAGACCGCCGCCGGCGCCGCCACCTCCACCGTCGCCCGCCGTCACCTCCACCGTCGCCCTCCGTGTAGCCCACTATACACTCCCCTCACCCTGAAATAGGTATTCATTCAACTTTCTTTGTGTTTTAAATTCTAGGGTTTATGTTGGTGATTTCTAATTTTTTTGGAATTGGGTTAAAATGTTGATGAGGTTGAGTTGTTAGTGTTAAAAATGTTGAACTGTTAGTGTTGGTATTGTTGAATTATTAGTGTTGGTAATTGTTGAATTGTTAGTGTTGATAATGGTAGTGTTGATATTGTTAGTGTTGATAATAGTTTGGATAATGTTGAATTGTTGTTGTTGGTTTTGTTGAAAATTGTTGACAATGGTTGATAATTATTAGGTTTTGAACAATTGTAATTACCTACATTGTTGTGTAATAATGGTGATTTAGGGGTTCTTAGTAGTTAATTTGTATAGTATGTAAAATTTTTTTGTTTGATTGTGGTGATTTAGGGATGATTTAACGGGTTTACGTAAAATGTGTTTTGGTTGTTATGTAGAATATGGCTGGACAAAATGTAGCGTTGTTATGTCGATGGGGAGGTGAAATTTTGTGTAATGGATCAAATGTGGAGTACAGTGGAGGGAATATGGACCTTATAACACTTGAACCGAACATGATTGTGACTGATCTGATGAATGAGGTTCACAGTTGTATTGGCCCAAACCCTATGACTGTTGAACTGAACCTTAAAATGAGGTGTGATACTGGTCATGGGGTGCAAGTGTTACCTGTCTCTACGAACAGACATTTGAAAGGTTTGAGGAGCATGGTAGGAATGAAGGGTTTTCCCAATGAGATATATGTAGAAACAGTGCCTATATGTACCCAACAAAGTACTCGGGCAGAACAGCAAGCTACATATGTCTCTGATTACAACACCGCGTCCTTCCAAGAGCCCGCAAACCACATTCCATTGAATGCATATGGGATGGGTTCTTTCACTCGAATGATGCAGGAAGACTAATTTCACTTGCCTTTTAGTTCTCATATAGCTTCACCAGTACATGCGGGGGGACGCGTGACAGTGTTCAGCCAGCCTGCTCCGTCGTCATCGAACACCGTGGCATCTTCGCCGATGCAATTGCATAGCTACTCTCCTATGCAAGGTGATGATGGTTCACCGTTTCGAGAAGAGCCAAATCATTTTGATGATGTTGTGAATAATGAATTGTCGGTGTATGATGTGTATGCGGAAATGGATGATGAGGACGAGAACGGAGAGGGGGATGATGAACCTACACAGGTGGAAGATGGTCAGCCGTTGGTTAGAACTCCCATACCTTGGTTCTGTGAGGTACCCGAGAACTATGAAGTTGATCAGTATTGGGCCGAATCGGGTAGCCACACCTCTTTTGTTCCCGGGGGAGAATTTGAGAAGGGAATGTATTTTGAGAGCAAGAAACTGCTTCAAGAAATGGTGAAGATGTATTATATTCAGAGGAATCAATTCTACACCACAGTGACCTCGAATGATGGTGTCCTACATCTGCGATGCAAGAAGAAATGTGGTTGGATGCTACGGGGTACCAAATCGAGTGAGCACTCACGTGGTTTTACCATAGTCACGTATAAAGGCCCACATCGGGAGACATGTGTCAGTGAAGTACTATCTAATGATCACCCACACTTGGATTCGTCCGTAATAGCCGAGTATGTGAAGTCCTTTGTGCGGAAAGATCCTTCGTTGAAAGTGGAATTCATACAGGAACTGATCTCGAAGCAATTTCATTTCGATGTCCCGTATTGACGAGCATGGTATGCCAAGGAGAAAGTTATAGCTGAGATATTTGGGGATTGGGAGAGTTCATATGGCAGACTTCCCCACTTCATGCAAGCACTCCTACGGTCAAACCCGGGAACATGTGTCGTATGGAAACACAAAGCTTTAGTGGATGGTGTATACTACAGCAACATGGAAGTGTTTGAACGAGTGTTTTAGGCCTTCGGTCCTTGTATCGATGGCTTTAAACATTGTATGCCTGTTATCTGTATCGATGGGACGCACTTGTACGGGAAGTATAAAGGAACACTGTTGGTTGCTACGAGTGTTGATGCAAGCTTCCAAGTATTTCCTATTGCATTTGCGGTGGTTGAAGGGGAAAACACTTCCAGCTGGTCTTGGTTCCTAGGTTGTATTCGAGATCGTGTCACGCAACAGGATGGCCTTTGTGTTATTTCTGATCGGCATCCTGGGATCATTGCAGCAATGAATGATCCCAATGTTGGATTCACCCAGCCCCGAGCGTATCACAGGTTTTGTGTCCGCCACATAGCCTCTAACTTGAAGACTCACGTGCGAAGTAACGACATGAGAGACATGTTCAAGGCCGCTGCGTACCAAAGGCAAGAAAGAAAAATTCAAGCTGATCTGTGTTTCATTGGTGAGGCCTGTCCCAAGGCCATTGAGTACATTGCTCAAGTCTCGTTCCCTATGTGGTCTCTGTTTCACGACAGTGGTCGCAGGTATGGTATATGTACTACTAACTTCTCGGAGACATTCAACAATGTGCTGAAAGGAGCTCGGTTTCTACCGATTATGTCCCTTGTCGAGTTAACCTTCCACAGAGTTAACAAGTATTTCACTTTGAGAAGGGAGTCTTCTGAGGCTAGGTCTGATCAGGGACTTCCATACCCCCCAAAGGTCACTGCCATCCTCGAGAAGAACACCGCTAAAGCCAGATATCATAGAGTGGATGCCTATAACCGGCGATTGCATATTTACCAAGTGACAACAGAGAGGGGAGAGAGAGTTGGTAATAAAGGAGGCCACAAGCATACGGTGAACTGCCAGTTGAGAACGTGTACGTGCAACAAACCGAAGATATTCCACCTCCCATGTTCTCATGTGCTAGCAGTCTGTGCTACATACTCACTATCAGAACGGCCTTGGGTGGACCCTCTGTTGCAGTCGGCCGCCTACATGAACACCTATGCACCACAGTTCTGGCCGATCCCCTGCGAGACAACCTGGGCACTGTGGGCACAGTACGTAGGCCCTAAACTCATTCCGGACGGCACAATGATACGTGGAAAAGGTCGTCCAAAGTCGAAGCGCATACGCAATGAGATGGATGACAGCAACCGGCCCCCAACCAAATGCAGCCGTTGTCACCAGCAAGGTCACAACCGCACTACTTGTCCATCTAGACCAACATAGGACCTAAGTGTATATGTGTTATTTGATATAGTAGTATGTAGTGGTGTTATTTTGATGAAACAATTATAATTTTCTACATTATGTGTTATTGTGTTCAATTCGATGAATTTTATTTTGTTCGTTGGATGTTCGAGATTTCCTGTTTATGCCTTTCAATCGAAATTAGTATTCAATATATTGTGTTAGTGTTTGGTGTTTAACGTTTTCCATGAACAAATATCATGGACGTACAGGATAGGACACCCGGACCTGTTGACCCTTCTGTCCTGACACTACAAGACACCCATCGGAGCGTCGACGTATGGAACCTGACGGTAATGATTCATCTTTAACGTTTTTGGATTCTTTGATGTACTATCTTTTGTTACTTATAAATGCTCCTGTGTTTTCAGGGTGACTTAGCGAAGCCACTACAGTGCAGGCACTACAGGACCCCCTGGGTTGTCCATGATCGGTGCCTTGAGTACGTGACGTACGCTGGCTTTGGCGGTGTACATCGCTTGGGATTCAGGGAGATCGACCGACACCTTGTCACGGCGTTAGTGGAGAGATGGAGGCAGGAGACGCACTCCTTCCACCTACCAGTTGGGGAGGCGACTGTGACATTGCGGGACGTGGCAATACTTACGCGCCTTCCAGTACAGGGGACTGCGGTGACGGGATCATTTCTAGTCGATCCCGTTGGATTGGTTGTGCGGGTTCTCGGGGTGCAGCCGGGTCCCAACGATGTTAGGGGCTCCGCCTTGAGGACGGTCTGGTTACGAGATACTTTCCAGGGCTTGCCTGCGGAGGCCGATGAGGCCACAATACAGAGATACGCTCGAGCGTACTTGTTCTTCCTCATATCCGGCGTGTTGTTCGGCAACAAGAGCGGGAGCCACTTGCAGCTTATTTACCTACAGCTGTTAGACCACGACTGGGAGCATATCCGTGGATACAGCTGGGGTAGTGCCTCTCTGGCGGTGTTGTATCGCCAACTTTGCAGAGCCTCATGGAGTGGTGCGCTCGAGATTGGAGGACCTCTGTTTGTGCTTCAGTTATACTACGTATATTATCACAAGCGAATTATGCAATGAGTAATGTCATATTTAACATAGTTTTGTGTTTTGCTATTGAAGCTATGGGCTTGGGAGCACATCCACGTAGGAAGACCAGGGAGGCCTGCTGTACATCGTCCGGGGTAGCAGGACCAGGATGACCAGTATGAGCCGTACATCGCTCCGCCTCGCCCTGCAGCTGATGAGGCTTACGGTTGCAGGTTTGTAACAATTGTCATTTTTTTCCCATATACGATTTCATTTTGTAAACATACTTACCAAATTTGTTGCCCCAGGTGGATGGTCCCCAGACTCACACAGGCACATGCGGCGACGGGTCTCCCATACTACCGAGACGCCCTTGATCGACTCACTGAGGATCAGGTACAAACTCTGAAGACATTTGTAAGCATTTAGGTACTGTGTATACTGATTGTGGACTAACTTATTTAGGATGTGTTATTGCAGATCACATGAGATCCGTATGTACCGGAGTTGGTAGATGTCATGCCTGCACATCTACTGGAGCATCAGGGAGAGTGGCGTGCCCGGGTCCCCCTGATCTGTTTCGAGGTTGTGGAGAGTCACCTACCTGACCGCGTCATGCGACAGTTCGGACTGCAGCAGCTTATTCCCCAGAACTGTGACACTGTCGTGCGCCTTCACGACATTGACCGTCGGGGAAAGACGGATACAAACTGGGCACTGGAGCATTGGCAGTATCTTCAGCTATGGGAGCAGCGGTTGGGTCATGTCGTTCAGGGTTATCCCATGCAAGGCGTTATGGATCATGACGATCCGTACATGGTGTGGTACAGGCTTATCACACGCCGTTTCATCAACCCCAGCTACACACCACCGTCCACCCATTACCACCCGGCACATGACATCATTAGCGGATATGTGAGTTTCTTTTACTATACTTATCATCCTCATTTTTTAACTTTTTTAAATATCATGTACTCGACTGATCGATGATTACTACAGGCGGCGGATATGGTGGCGATGTATGATGCACTGTCCCTCGCCCTTATAGACGGACCCACCAGAGCCCAGGTCCAGCGGATGCGAGATATGTCCGCGACTTCCTTACGCAGACATGGTCACGGTCATCTCATCCAACAGCGGGACGGTGATGATGGTCACTCCATCCATTCGCGGTTCGACCCCGGCCAGAGTAGCAGTGGAGGTGATCCTACGTCGCACACAGAGGCAGAGGAGTACATCTTCCACAGTTCTGCACCCTTCAGAACCCAGGAGGACGCATCGTCCAGCCAGCTCACTCCTCCCCCCCCCCCCGCGCCGAAACCCATTCACCACCATTCACCATTACACTCGGCGTCGTCCAAGACGAAGGGACGACAGTGAGGCTAGGGAAGGGTTACACCAAATTGATGAGTAGTGAACGTATTGTATCATTGTTTTTTCCTTTTTCCTGGAATGCTGTATATAACGATTGCATTATCAATATAAGACATGCTGGTTGAATGAATCTGTTTGTGTTTTGAAGTTTTGTTTGCTTATTTATCCAAATCGGATTTATGTCAGTCAAAATAGATCCTTCAGGGCTAATGTACATTAAGCAACAGACATTTGGAATCCATAGTCGAAAATGGGGAAGAAAGGATGGCCCGTGGTGGTTAATGTGGTTGTTCATGGTGGTTTTAGTGTTGTTGGTTGTGGTGGGTGGTTATCGACGGTTGTTGAATGGTTGGGGTTGGTGGTGGAGCTGGTTGAAGTGTTGTTGGAGGTCAAAAGTGGTGGCAGATGGTGGTCGATGGTGGGGGTTGTTGGTGGATTGTGGTGGCAAGAATCATGGCAGGGGGTGGTGGGTGGGGGCAGAAGAAAGTGGCAGATCAGTGGCAAAAGGCTGATTCTGCTGCTGTTTTGCACACCAGCAGAGAAACGCTGTCTCAGACAGCGTTTTAGGTTAAAAATAAGACGCTGTCTGAGACAGCGTTTTAGGTACAAGGAAGTTTGTACATAAAGCGCTGTCTGGGACAGCGTCTTTGGTATAACTGTTTTTGTTTTTTAAAAACATTTTTATAAATAAAAGGCAATTACAAAAATTTAAAAAAAAAGGTCAACAACAAAAACGCTGTCCCAGACAGCGTTTTTAGGTTGATTTTTTTTTTAAAAAAACCCAGGCATAAAACGCTGACCGAGACAGCGTTTTAGCCTGGAAGCTTAGTTTGGTAAATACTTTTGCCACGCAACCATTTTGGTTAATATTTGCCAAAATTGGCTCACTTTGAAAAAACGTCCTAGTATGTAAGACAGGAAAGAGGTCCTAAATATAACCTTAAAAAATTGGCAAGTCATCAGAATTCGGCGGATTATCCTTTTCTTAAATTTTGGAGATTTAGTAGTTGGGGTTTCTTACGAAATTATGAAGAAAAAAAAATTGATCCCATCTGTTATTCATAATGGACAATTTGAATAATGTATTAGATTATTAGCTAATATAATTATCTAATACAAGTTGGGCACAATTGGCTATATCTAAATATTTTATGTATTTATGGTATAACTGATTGCATGTGATGATGTTTCTTTGTAAATTGTAATTACAAGCAAACTAATCATAAATTTTACTTACTCTGCGATAAAGAATATATATCCTAAACTAATGACATAGATTATCTTACTATAATCAATCTATAACACTCCAAATATATCATACTCGTATCTCATATGAGGATTAATTATATACTAGGTTGTTATCGTCTCATCGATCGATAGAGTATTGTATAACATCCTAATTTAAGATCTCTTATGCAGTGAAACCAATTGCTAGCATTGCACGATAGGTTAATGTTGCTTTGTTGTGCCTAATGATATAAAACTTGATACATAGTGCGTGCTTCCAAGCAGTCATTTATTTGTTAGTGTGATAATCTTGTGTTAGCGATATTTTTAAATTAAGAAAAGATACACGCGTACAAATTACAATTAAGTCTGTCTTTAGACATAGTAGCTAGTATAAATGCATGCCCTGCATCTATTTTCACTAGATAAGCACAAATTGTAGCTGATTGGTAAATTCATTAGCTCGCTCGAAACATACATTTTTATTTATTTCATGAAAAACATGGGAATTTTAATTGTTTAACCCATATCGATCAATATAGATCATTGAGCCAATAATGTCAAATAAAAGAGAGGAACATCGATGAATCTCAAATCAAACAAATGGCATAATTTGTTGAGTTTATAACTAGTGCAAATTCGAGTGTTGGCGATGAGAAAATCGGTGAAGATTAACCGGAAAAACTTCGGACTTGTTACGAGAGCCATAAACCTTAGCTGCTATGGCAGCGCATGCGGATTCTGAGTAATGATTGAGATAAAAAAAAGGCATAGCGTCTCCGATCATCGCAGGGGGTGCCATTAACCTTGCATGACGATTCACTTGTTGGAGATTCACTTGATGTAAGTTCACAGCAAGGATCATTCACATTGCTCAAACCTACGCACAATTATTTCGATTTTCGAATTACCAAAACAACTCATCAAGTGTGTATAACCTTGTAACATAGTACATAGTGCATGCAATACAAGATAAGAAAAAATTGTACTAGGTCAAATATTTCTTCATAAGCTACATTTTTCAGGTTTTCGTAAAAGGGTATTTCCACTGCTATAGGTCACAAATTATTTGTTACAATTTGACTTTTTAAGGTCAATATTATAAACTTTGAGCTACATTTGTATCTAGTCTCCATTCTCCACGTTAGCTAGAGTATACGTGGCATAAACAATTAATAACATAAGGCAATACTACGTCATAACATCATTGTTTAGAAGAAATGAGATTTATTTGAGACAGAGATTATACTACCTGTTGAATTCCCGTTGTTTAGAATATCCGTGATGACTTTAACAGAATCGAGAATCATAAAGTCTGAACCAGGCAATTCGTGTTTCATCTGTTTAACCTTGGAAATCAACTTATCATAAAATACAGAAATGTAGGGCCTGTTCATATTTACTTATTTTCAGTTTAGTTCAGTTCAGTTCAATTCAGTTCAGCTCTAATCAGTTCAGTTCAGTTCAGTTTAGCTCTAATTAGTTCAGTTCAGCTCAATTCAGTAAATATGAACAGGCCCGTAGGCATTTATTTCTGGTAAGCATCCTTTGCCTTTGCTTACTGGAGGGATGCATCCTAGGGGATATGCTGATAGCAATAGGAAATTCCTAGCTCTGGCCTTGTATAATCTCTATCAAATATCAAATCACCAAATAACATATGAAAAAACGACAATTAGACAGTAATTGACAAATACTCCTCCCTTCCAAAATTAATTGTCATACTGAAAGTGTAACACAGTACAATATGTGAAGTATATATATAGTTCACGGGTATGAACTAGTAATGTAACAGTTAAATTCTGCGCATACAAGCAGATGGATAGTATACAGTTTTATGGTTTATAGACGTTTTACGTACCTTGAGTTGAACAGAATAAAAATCGATAAGCTTTGCAGCAAAGGCTTGGGCAGATTGAGAAGCGTTTTGGGGGGAAAGTAATAATTGAAAAGTGTAGTCATTGTTTCCAGCAGCTACCAAAAATAGATAATCAGGGAGTATCTTATCTCTTTGACTTCTCAACCGGCTTTCTAATTTTGGCAAGGTCACCCCTTCAAAGTTTGTAATTTGCTCATGTAAAGAGATCACCTTTCCCTGTTTTATTAATAAGACAAAAGGAGAATTGAAATGAGTTTGTGATTTTTTCCTGTTTGTGCAATTACTATTCCTAAGTTGACCCAAGTACCCGATGCTTACTTACACAGTTAAACCCAATCCAAAAAAAAAAAAAAAAAAAAGACTACAAAATAATTCGTCTCAAATTAATTAACCTGACCTAAACAAACTCGTTTGCCTAGTCTAGGCACACCATATATTTTATACAAAGATATAAGAATTGAAGTATAAATATATATACATTTTGACAATAGTACAACATATAATAAAAACGTGTAAGTTTAATTATATTTACCCAAATTACGCCGGTTTCATTAAAAATGCCGGAGCCACCAGAAGCAAAGTTGACACCGTAAAGGATAGAATCGCCTTGAGTTTGAGTATTAGCAAAAGAAGGAATCAAAGGAAGCTTAAGATGATCACCAATTAAATCAGCAACATTCTTCCCATTTGAGAATCTGCCTGTTGGTTTTATTGGACCAACATTAAAATCAATACCATATGGTAAAAAATTGGCTTTGGACGTGCTACCTTTAAGGTTGTTATTGTTTCCATTGTCGACTACTGAGCTACCAAAGATGAACATTCCCTTAAACCCGCCTCCGTTTCTAGGCTTGTTATTTGCACTGCAAAAACAAGCAAATGCAAAGAAACAAAGGGAGACGATGATACGTAAGTGTTTACTTAAATTTATAGCCATGTTTGAAGTGTTTCTATAATTTGATGAAATGAAAGGGGTATATATGTAGCCAATATATATATAATGTAGGAGGAATAATTGATTGATACATCATAGAAAGTGCACGTTTTAAATGATTCAACTAGTATTATTTGGTGCGAGTGATGCCCCGAGTCATTATATAGGATTATTAATACTCCGTATGTTTTAATTTATGATTCCATTTTCTTGTAATTAAATTTGTTATTCTTATTGTCAATTAATTAGTTTGTACTATAAAACTTAAATGAATTAGCATGTACTATAAAATATGAATTAATTAGCTGGTACTCCAACACTTTAACTTGAATTGATTAGCTTGTAGTAAAATTAAATTTGAGTATTTTAGTCTTGGTTTAAATTAAATATTTTTTTTTATAAATTAAATGTTTTAAATTAGTCTTGGTTTAAAATAAATGACTAACAACCCATTTCTTCTTCTATCACATATTCATTTGTTTTAATTTTGTATCAAGTTTCCATAGAATTTTACTCCGTAATGTTTAGGGTTTAAATCTTACCAAATGTAGATAATTAAAGGTTGAAATCCGGCCCTCATTTTAGCTTAACCATACTTTTTCTAAGCACATGACCAGTAAATAATTGGATTAAAAAAAAAATGAGAGTACTGGTCATTTTCGTACTCACCTCAAATCCATGTTTTATTATGTATCGTAACATGCATGGTAGCAAGGTGCCCTTGGCCCGTTCTGCCAAAAATACCTCCATGATTTCCACGGGTGTTGCGAGGCTACGTCCCGCGTGGGAAAAGTAATTGATGGAATGACGATGATTTCCACGGGTATTGCTTATGGAGTACTGGTATAATATACTTGCATATCATGACGATGCTATTTGAGATATACTATCTTTGTTACATATTATTTTGCAACGATTTGACATAAAGTAGAGAGAAAAAATGTCTAATCATTGCTGCGTTGCAATTAATATGTAACGGAGGTAGTACCTTTTAATACTTTCTCTGTATTTTTTTAGTTGCAACACTTTTATTTTCATGGTCTCCTGAACAATTACTTTCTACGATTCTATTTAGTTGTCATGTTCAATTTAGGCACATATATTAAAGAGAGGCGGGTGAGTGAGAGAGAATGATAAAGCAAGTGGGGTACTTTTAAAACGCAAGGTATAAAACTTACCCAAAAAGAAAATGTATCAACTAAATAAAAACTTCCTAAAAAGGAATATGTGTCAACTAATAAAAAACGGAGGTAAGTATTAAAGAGGAGAGAAATAAAGAAAAAATAAATAAAAGGGACCCGTATGGGTAGAAGAGAGATAGAGAGAAAAAATGTCAAAAATAGAAAGTGTTGTAAATAATAAACAATTTCCATAATAGAAAAGTGTTGCAAGTAATTAGATAGTCCGCCTTTAGATATAATAGTAGTATATATGTAAATAGAGCTGTCAATTTAGGTAAACGGGTCGGGTTTGGGTCGGTAAGAGTGAGTCAGGTCAATTCAGATTAATTCCATAACCTATGCGGGTCAGGTTTGGGTTGGGTCATGCTTAAGTCGGGTAACGTCGGATCATACTTCTTATCAGGTTTGGGTCAGATTTAGGTCGGGTTACATTCAGGTCGGGTGAACAATAGGTCGGGTTGAATTTGGGTTTTCACGGGTTAAAAGGGTTTGGGTAATTCTCGGGTTCGAGTCGAGCTTGGTTCAAGTCAATAATTTGCGGGTTAGAATCAGGTCGGGTCATTCTCGGGTTTGAGTCGGGTTCGGTTCAAGTCAATAATTTGCAGATTATAATCAGGTCGGGTCATTTTCAAGTCGGGTCATTCTCGGGTTTAAGTCGGGTTCGGTTCAAGTCAATAATTTGTGGGTTATTATAATCAGGTTGTGTCATTTCCAAGTCAGGTCATTCTCGGATTCAAGTCGGATTATGTTCAAGTCAATAATTTGCAGGTTACAATCAGGTTGGGTTATTTACAAGTGAGGTCATATTCGGGTTCAACTAAGTATAAATAGATAATTATCATTTTTATCAAGCTAATTATTTCCTTTGACTATAATATATATGGAAATATACTAGAGAATTATAATCTATAATTTAGGAATATAATGATCTCCTTTGACCAATTAACAAATATATATTATATTTAACTCATAAATTTGATGATGATGTTGCTCCTTTCTTTTACTAGCTAGCCTGGACTTACTTGGTCTCCCAAGACAAAATGCTATGATCAACAATATTACACTAGTAGAATAAACATAATAGCAAGCGGTTCAAACCCCCTAATGGGAAGCGGTTTCGAACCGCATGCCATTAGGGGGCTTGCCATTAGCCTTTTAAATGGCAAGCGGTTCAGAACCGCTTGCCATTTGTAGTGAAAGGGCAGCGGTTTTGGCGCCAAACCGCTGCCCATTATGGGTATAAAAAATATTTTTTTTTTATTTTTTATTTTTTTAGTTTTTTCAATTAAATTGAAACACAAACATAATATATGCAAAAACAATAATATTTTTATTAATTAATTATTGTAATATTACATTTTCATAAAAAAAACAAGCATATTAAAACTGATGCTACTCTTGTTCACCAGCCGTGCACACCACCAGCCGCCACCACCAACCACCTTAACCCGTATTACCACCACCACCCTATCCCGATTCACCGTATCTGCCAAAAAAAAAATTGAAAAAATAAACAACAATAATTATTAACTTAATTTCAGATCTTTTGTGTAAAAAAAAAAAAAATCAGATCTTAAATTATGAACAACAAAATTTTAAAGCTAAAAACTTGAAAATCATACACAAACATACCGAGTTCAGATCTTTAATTATAAACAACAAAATTTTAAAGCTAAAAACTCAAAAATTATACACAAACATACCGGGTTCAAATCTTAAATTATACACAAACATAATATATGCAAAAACTCGAAAATTAGCTAAAAATTTAATGAAATACCGGAAAATCAAGTGAGATATGACTTGAGAAGCAGCGATCTGAACCCTAACGTCGAGCCGGAAAACTGAACCCAAACGTTTTCTTCATTCTCGTCGTTGGGTACTGAGGCGTTCGTCGTTCTTCGTTGTGGTGAGGCGTGAGATATGTGTCCGTCGTTCTTCGTTGTGGTGATGCGTGAGAAAGGAAAAAAGGGAGGCTGAGTAAGGAGATAAGAGAAGAAAGAGACGAAGATAAAGGATGGAGGGGAGATAGAGGAGAGAGAGCGTGAAAATGAGAGGAGAAAGAAAAAATGAGGGGATAGATCAGAGGAGAGAGAGCGTGAAAATGAGGGGAAAGGGGACAGAGGAGAGAGAAGATGAGGCCGTGAGCTAGTTTTAATTTTCTAGGGTTTTTTTGACCAAATGGCAAGCGGTTCAATGCTCAAACCGCTTTCCATTTACATTTTGGTAAGCGGTTCATGCAAAACCGCTTGCCATTGGCATTTTGACAAGCGGTTCATCCAAAACCGCTTGCCATTTACATTTTGGCAAGCGGACTTCAAAAACCGCTTGCCATTTGTGGCTGCCCATCAAGTTTATTCTACTAGTGATAAGGTGGTCTGAATTGCATTTAAGGTGATTTGAAATCGGGTCAGGAACAGTTTGGGTTGAATTTAGGTCGGGTCAATAACAAGTCGTGTTAATTTCGAGTCGGGTTAGTAATAGATCGGGTTGAATTTTTAGGTTGGGTAAGTAATAGGTATGGTAAAATTCAGGTCGGGTCAATAACAAGTCGGGTTGAATTGGGTTAGGTCAATAACAAGTCGGTTTAATTTCGGGTCGGGTTCGTAACAGGTTAGGTTAAATTCGGGTAGGGTTAGGAACATGTCAGTTGAATTTAGGTAAATTTAGTAAAAATTCGGGTTAAATTCGGGCTTTGACGGGTAAAAACGGGTTTGGATCAATTTCAGTTCAAGTCGGGTTTGGTGCAAGTTAATTAAATTGGCCGTGGTAAACCAGTAAATCGGTGCAAGTTGGAAACCGGCAAATTGGCCGTTTAAAAGCAAATTGAATGGTTCCACACACCAAATTGGACTCCTAGAGGGTATTAGGGACCATCGTACACATTTCGGCAATTTTTATTTTCAGGCGAAAAAAAGTCAAAAAGTTCCAAAATTAAAGGCTAATATCCACGCTTTTTGAGAAATTTTGGAGGTTTCGGGGCCCGGTGTCGAAAAGTCTTGATATTTTATGGGATACATCTTGGGGTCATATAATTCCGTTTGGTATGATCATATATTTCTTGTCATAAATGATCGTGATAGGCTTGAATTAATAAAATCGGTGCAAGTTGTAAATCGGTAAATTGGTCGTTTACAGGAAAATTAGATAATTTCATCCACCCAATTGGACTCCCGGAGGGTATTAGGAACCATGGTAAACATTTCTGTAATTTTTCTTTTCGGGCGAAAAAAATCAAAAAATTTCAAAATTGAAGGCTAATATCCACGCCTTTTGCGTTGGAGGTTTCGGGGCCCAGTGTGGAAAAGTATTAATATTTTAGGGGATACATCTCAGGGTCATATAATGGCGTTTGGAACGATATATGATCATTATATGTTGTCATAAATGTTCGTGGTAGGCTTGAGTTAATGAAATCGGTGCAAGTAATAAACCGGTAAATAGGTCGTTTAAAAGGAAAATTAGATGGTTCCACCCACCAAAGGATATTAGGGACCATGGTAAACATTTCGGAAATTATTATTTCCCGGTGAAAAAAAAACTAAAAATTCCAAAATTTAATGCTAATATCCACGCCTTTTGAGAAATTTGTGAGGTTTCGGGGCCAAGTGTCGAAAAGAAATGAGGTTTTATTTGATATATCTCGGGGTCATATAATGACGTTTGAAACAATAAATTACCATTAAATGATGCCATAAATGTCCGTGCACTACGTGAAAAAATGAAATTGGCACCGGTTCAAACCCGGCTTAAGGCACCGGTTTGAACCGGTGCCAATGTGGGGGGTGCCAATAAGAGATTTAAAAAGGCACCGGTAAACCGGTGCCAAAAAATCCCAAAAAATTTAAATTCACTGTTTTTGGCACCGGTTAACCGGTGCCAAAAGTGCCA